TTTCATTTGTATATTAGTTATAAGACCTAATGTTACTCGTGTAACCTTTGGTTGTGTGTTCTATCCATAGAAAAAAAAACTACGTATAATATAAATATTTTTTTTAATCTTAAGTTGTGTCAGAACAATGTTCATTTGAAGTTGTATCATGTATATACACTGATTCTTTACTGAATTTTCCAAAGAAACAAGCGAGGTTCTAATGGATATTAATTTCTATGGATTTCCTATGGATAATCAATTACAAGTGAAAGATTTACCATATTTTTCCGTTACCCGTTCCTTAATTCCCAATGAATAAAAATCCTATACGCATTGAAATCATCCAATTTTCCTCCGAAAATAATTCAATCCAAAGAAGCCTCGTGTATCAAATCCTAAAATCCAAATTACACAGAAAAATCCGCTAGCACTAATGATATGATGACCCTAACTTTAGTTTGCAACACTAGTACGTGAGTACGTGACCATCGGCCCTGTGTCCCATTGCATGCCGTGGCTTCAATCGTAGCATGGCCTCCGTAGGTAGTTGGGGTCCGATTCCTCCCTTTGGTTCAATTTATGTGTCGTGGGGAGAGAGGGCCATGCCTGCATGTCCTGTCCGGTCTAGCGGTCGGGAAGCCAGGGACCCAAACTTACGGGTTATTAGTCATCTCATCTCATTGATCATCAATGCACGCCCAGGCCGTGCTCGCGTCGTCGCAACAACCGACGGGGCCGGCGCCGATCCAGTACATATGCACGGTGTTGTGGCTGCACGCCCGTGAAACGGTGAAAATTAATATTGCCGAGTTACCTAATTAATTTTAGGCGAGGAATAGTGGAAGAGTACTCGTGATCGTTTTTATTTTTGTGTGTGTCATATGAAAAAAAAAAACTTTGGAATTCAGGAGACAAATAGAAGGAAACTAGTACGGTAGCGCTGTATGTGACCGTCTTTGGTTTGTTTCAAGCGGCAGTTTCGGTTCGTCCCGTCCTGTACGTGCACGACGACAGTGTCAGCAGTGTCATAAACGCAACAGTAACTAGCACGGGAGTACACAGGACCAACTCAAAAGCAGAGATGAGATTAATCAGCTGGTTGTATTGCTGCCTGCCCGGAAGCTAGACACAGGTACCCAAATTAAACACTTACCCCGCAGAGCCCCCCCACCCAGGGACCAATCTTTCCGCTCCGTGCAAACGTATAGCACAGCTCTGCATGGTGCAAAAGTATAGCACGGCCATCAGGCCATGGCACGCCAAGAGGTACGCCAAGAGCCCACGAGCCTACGAGCACTCTCGCGTTACTGCATCTGCGTCATGCGCGTACGCCTAGCAGGATCCCCGATTTAATAACGACGGCCTCATCTCGCCCGCTGCGTACGACGCCATCGGTGTTCGGCGCGTCGTACGCCGTGGCCGGCAGCGGCACACACGCCTCGCGCACGGCACGGCACGGCGCCGACCGAAATATCTCGCGCCGTTGTGGCGTCGCACATGACATGCGCGCGCGAAATGCCGAGATCGATGCAGCACAGGAGCTAGCAGTGTGTATCGGGGTAGATCGATCATGTGATGAGATTGCCAGGTGCTACGCATCCAGCGCGTGTCCTACCGGATCGAGGAGATGGATTTGCAGAGAGAGCTTGAGCGTGGTCCAGGGCCGGCGTCCTCTCCTCCCCGTTCTTCTCCCACCTTTTGGAGAGAGAGTGATGTATCCCGCCTTGTCTGTCTCGGCATCCGTTCGTCTTGACCAATCGGTCGATCAACAGAGCACAAAGCTGGGGACAAAATGTCTTTTGCGGCATGTTCGTTCCAGGACGTGTGAACCGAACTCTCGCATGCATATGCATGCAAATGCAGGCACGGACAAGCGGCATGATTGGTGATGATCATGTACGTATTCGTTGTGTCGTTCTAATGTGTATAGTTCCAAAACCTGATCGTCTTAACCAACATGATTGGCCGGGTCAAGCCCCAAGCGTATCTCGTTAATCATGATCTGCACAACGAAATTTCCTCTCTGAACAAACAGTTAGCATCGGTCGTCAGGGGGTGGGCTCTGCCGTACCTGCTGGCAGCATGGGCTAAGTGCCAATGTGGAGTGGGACAGTGATCACTGATCACCTTGCAGCGTCTCCTCTCCCCCCTGACTGACGTGAAAAATGTCATGCTGGGTACAGTTCACACCTCCACTCCTTCAGACAGGTGCAGCCAAGATAGATAGCTGAAGGGAGAAAAGGAAACACAGCAGTTGCTTCTAGTTATTAACTACTAGCAAGACAACTTCGCTACACTGATCGATAGCCACACATCACCTAGCAGCCAGCTTCGCCTTGACCAAGATTCATGTGCCTTTTGTCACTATTGTGTTGTAGTATGATTTTGATTCACCATAAATCCATGAAAAGTTCGACACCACCCATAAGGTGCTGTTGGGTGCACTGAACACAATGTGTTAGACCCTTCGGCCGTACTTTGAGATCACGAAGATACATACTACATTATTAGCCCCAATAATTTTGAAACTGTGGCATTTGTTTTGAGACACTTTGGTTTTGTGGTTTTGCGATAATTTAGACACTTTAACAATTATTTCAATACAATTTCTTCCATGATAGAGCACAGATATAACTTTGCGAAAGATAATTATAATTATACCCTTTGCCGCCTTGCAAGTTTTGAATTTGAACAAATTTAGCTGAATTTTGTAAGATTCAAATCGTTTCCAAAATTGCTGATATCAAACTTATAATTATATATATATATATATATATATATATATATATATATATATATATATATATATATATATATATATATATATATTAAAAAAAATAAACAAATGCAGACTAAATTTAGACAAGTTTTGAATTTTGGAATGTTTAAATTTTGCAAATATTTTCAAATTTAAATCTTACAAGGTGGCCCAAAGGTAAATGGTCATTTGCAGAGTTTTATATTTCCATTGATAGAGGATATATTAAAATAATAACCGAATTATCTTTGGTAAATAATCACGAAACTAGAGTGCCCTATGACAAAAACATAAAATGAAAGAGTCCTGAAGTAATGCTACAATTTTTGAGTATGATGGAGTAAATTTTGACTTGAAAAATATGTTATATTAAATATCGACACATTGTTCTAAATACAAATTTGGTTGCTGATTTTTATTGACAGATATTTGAAAATTTTGATAAAATTACAGGGTTACGAAAATAGTTTTAAGGAAACACTATACATACAGTACTAATTTTTAAACTAAATATTTAAAAATTCACTATACTATTTTTTTAAAAGATTATCTGAAACATGTGCACAAAACGGTTGGCATGCATATATATTTTCATGACTGGAGGCAGTATATAAGACAAAAGTTCTTCTGTACGTATATAAACACAATGTCATATACTCCATAATGGATTCTCTGCATGTACATGCATACGTATACTCTAGTAAAGAGCCGGTCAAACCTGTATAATTGGACATATCATGAGCCGTAGGACGGATCCAATGATGGTAGTTGGTAGATTTCTATAATGCGAACTGTTGCCATGTACTGTGTTTTGGGACAGCTTAAATGATTATATACGCTATATAGCTTTCTCGTTTGGAGATTTTGTTGTGATCGATCCTCAAAAGGCTAAGGTAAGCTAATGCTAAGCTAGCGAACCGATCGCCATGGCATGAACACTACCAGTGAGCAGTACTACTACTGCCCCTATGGAAAGTTTGTTAATCAAGCAGTACCAACAAGAGCTACTAGGTAGCAAGGCGACAACATGGCCTACGTGGAGTCAGTTCATGACACAGCATGACCAATCTGCATCTCAGGGCTCAAGCATTTGGCATTTCTGAACTCCAACATGTACACAGGACTCAAGCTAGCAATCATGGTTTTATATTCTCCTCCCACACAGCTTGAGACAACCCTAGAGTACAAATCTTCCAGCATCCCAAAATGTTCCCTGCACGAGCAGTCTTAGTGTCAAATAAATTATGCAGTGGAATATGTTTTAAAACAAGATAATATGTGTGAACAATAGTGAAACAGGTACATACTGAGCCAATTATTAAAGGGAACTGTTAGGAAGACACACCTGGATTTTGCTTTGGATGCAGTGGGCCAGTGGAAAGAGTCTACCCCCATATGCACCTTGGAAAAAAAAACCCCCACAAACACCTTTGCATTTGAAATAATAATCATTGGAAAATGTCTTTTTCCCTTTCTAATAAAATTTGGAAAATACAAAGATGTATATGGGTTTTAATTTTCTTCCCTTTTCATGCTATTATTTAAAATAATATGAATGCCGCATATTTATTGTATTTGGTTTAAATAGAATGAATCAACGGGTACCCATACGGAGTGACTTGCTCTCCCCGTACTGAAAACAACTCTCAGATTTTGGAAACAAAAAGAACATCACGATGCTAAGCATTCTTCTGTTGTCGTTCTCAGTTACTGTGACTTGCCCCATACCATCCCTCTATTTTCTTATCAGTCGCTATTGCAAAAATTCAACCAGAAGCGATGTACATATGGAATACTTAATTAGCCTCGTTAAAAATTTAAATTGTGTCGAAATATTATTAGCTAGGTAATGCCAGTGAAATTGCAATACTGTTTTTTTAGGTTCTGAAAATTAAAACTGTTTTTTTACTCAGTACTACAAGATTTTTAGATAATGGATTAATACTACAAGGATGCTTTATTCTTTGAGAGGAAATGCTACAATAATTAAGATGCTACTGATCGATGACTAATCTATTTAGTGATGCCCAGCAGCTAGCATGAACGGCATCGATCTGCAGATCCAGGGGAGGGAGTGCAGATTCAGAGAACAGCACAGGGCCGGCCAGAAAACCACACACATATAGTACAGAGTACAGACAAATCCAGCGGCCAAAATGCAAGTACGAACCAAATAAAAAGAAGCACGCACACACACGCACACACAGGCTGCAGCTAGTAGCTCTCTCCTCAGTCGTCCTCGCACCGCAACACATGCTCAAGACTATTAGTCGATTTATGCTCGCAAGTCATCACAACGTCTCTCTCGCTGTCGCACAATTACAACTCTCGCTTTCTCCCTCCCTGCTGCTGGCCTCAGCCTCGCCTCTCTCTCCTCTTACTCTCCCAGCTCCGCTTCCACCTCCCGGCCTCTTGCGGCGGCCTAGCTAAGCAAGCTCTCGCTAGCGGCGCCCGGCCATTATATATAGCTCAGCTCGCCTGCAACTGCCAATCTCAGGCATCAAATCTAGCTATAAGCTACGCACACCTAGCTTGCTCTTCTAGCTCAACTAAGCTATTAGTACTATATAAGCTAGCTAGATAGCTGCACTGCAAGTGGTTGTAATTTGCAACCATGTCGAGCAGCCGGAGGTCGCGCTCACGGCGAGCCGGGAGCTCGGTGCCGTCGTCGTCGTCGTCGTCGAGGACGTCGATCTCGGAGGACCAGATCGCCGAGCTTCTCTCCAAGCTTCAGGCCCTGCTCCCGGAGTCTCAGGCTCGCAATGGCGCCCATAGGGTAAGCATAGCATCCTTTCCATGTCGAACACAACCAGAGAGAGAGCCCCCATGAGTGAAGTAGCTAGTGAGCTCACAGCCGCGTGTGCGTATGAATGCAGGGCTCGGCGGCGAGGGTTTTGCAGGAGACGTGCAGCTACATCAGGAGCCTGCACCAGGAGGTGGACAACCTCAGCGAGACGCTCGCTCAGCTGCTCGCCTCCCCCGACGTCACCAGCGACCAGGCGGCCGTCATCAGGAGCCTCCTCATGTGACCGATCGCCACCGACCATGCATCTACCGATAGCTCGGCGCATCCGTGGCTGGCCGTTAGATCGAGCATGCCTGCGGCTCAACTACTAGCCCCTCCTGCTGAACAGAACTGGAGTATTTTATATTTTCAGAGAACAATTAAGTGATATATAACTAGCTAGCAAACTAGTACTACTACTAGGAAGCGATATATCTGTGCCTTCTTGTAAGTTGATATAATTTGCATCGTGATGACTGGTTTGGTTAGTAGTAAATCCAAATTAAGTTTGGATGGCGAGAGGTTTGCGAAGTTGCAGATCGATCGATTCATGCATGTCTGGAGACATGATCGATCAGTGCTTTTAATTATAAGAGGACAGTAGAGTGTACTGCTAGCTAGTCTAGTGAGAGCTTCATGTTTCTGTACTTTGAAAGGCTAATGCGTGTTGTTTAATGCATGGATGCTTTATTAATTTGATATTTGACATTAAGCAGCAGATCGATCGTCGATCGGTTCTTTTCTTGATGGGCCACGCATGCATTATAATTGCAGCTCTCTCTTGGACGTGCTGTTGTATCCTGTGTTTTTATTTTAGCTGAATTTGGACCTTTTCTGAATTACTTAAATTTGGAGTTCATAGACGAAGATTTAATTTGAGTCCCACATCATATTTCCATTGATTTGGACATATATGTACCCCCACATGATATTAAGAGTTCTAAATAATCCAATACATATGTCAACAAGTTTAGTTTCCATTTCAGCGCAAACTAAGGTACGTACGTGGATATATATACATATGCACGCGCATTCGAATTCGAGTTTAATCGAGTACGTACTTTGCTATCATTTATGGTTAATTCAATGGAGAAATATTTGGAGGCGAGTACGTACTGCGAATGCATGATGCAGAGATGTGTGTGGATGCATGGACCATGTAATGATATATCTAAGTGGGGCGACAGGAGGGCAGGAAATCAAAGATACACCGTACGACCATGACTACAACCCTACAACTAATTATCTCGCACCAGTACCTGGCCCCCTGCTAAATTAGGCCCTAGTTATGCGTGTGATTAGGACCATGCAGACTTTGTAAACAAAATTAAATCCACTGTGCCGACGATCCTCTCGATCTCTGGCCAGTAAATATATATTGCACCAGCTAGATGGACAATATAAAGTAGTACGTGCATGTACTATACACTGATAGCAATGCATGGGAAATAATATTAACTGGAGAGTGGAGACCAAAACTCATGAATAAAAAAAGTAGAGTAAATTTCACAAAACTACATATATGTTAAGCAAACAATCACAAAACTATATATTTAATACATTGTATCACAAAACTACAAATTTAGCATTAAATTTATCAGAAAACTATAGATTTAAGACCAAGTATCACCCTGCATGTTTAATATCGAAGTTATTACAAAACCACATAATTTAGAGGTGAAATCCTTAGCACTACCATTATGATTGAACTATAAACGTTGTAGTTTTGTGATTAAATTGACAGTAAACCTATAGTTTTGTAATAAATTTGCTACTTAATCTATAGTTTTGCGATCATATATTTTAAATCTGTAGTTTTGTGATAAACTTAATATTAAATATATAGTTTTGTGGTACAACACCATGAATACGCAGTTTTACGATAGTTTGGTCAAAGTATTTGTATTTTTATGAAATTTACTTAGAAAAATAAGTTTAAAAAAAGATAAAAACTCGATAAAAATGACATTCATTTTTATGTAATACATGATTTATAGCACCTATTTAGATCTTCATCACATTCTTAGCTCCTTATTGTGTAAAACCACAATGCATAGTTCAAATTAATGAGCCAACCACTGGTACACATGGCAGCTAGTGGTGGATCTGAAAAATTATAGATCCTACGCAAATCTACCTTTTTTTTCGCGAACGTGCAAAAGAATTGCACGTCAATAAAATCTACCTCTACTAAGTGTTTATTATGAAAATATTACTTTCAATCCCTAAATCAAGACGATGAATTCATTTTGTGTAGGTCGATGAGCATCGGAGGCTGCCAGCCGGCGGGGGTTACCGAGCGCATAATGGATCTAGCAGTTATAGTGTCTATATAGTTTATATGATATAATTATCTTTCAGTCGTTAACATTAAAGATGACTATGATACTCAATTATACATAACAAGTTTAATAAGTGACATACGGATAAAGGTATGAAGAGGGAGGAGAGGGAGAGAGAGAAATAGGTATGTTAGTTTTTTTTTCTTTTGCCGTAGAGACTTCTTGTCCGACAACAAGCTAGGAATGAGGGGGTCAAGTGTGAGTGAGGGAGATATCAGCCTTTTGCCTTTGCTTTCGAGCCTCTTAGTCAGGTAACATAAATTATAAAGAGGACAAGGACTTCAACTTTGTAAATGATCTACATCAAAAAGAATTTAAATGCGGATCATGCATGGTGGGGTTTATATATAGTTTCAGGAGCTTATTGAGGGACCATCTGCGCGTGTCGGCGAGGAAAAAAAAGGTTTTTTTTTTTTTATAAAGGCGTCCTTGAAAGGTCACCTACAGGGACATAAATAGGGTACTGCTTGTAGGGAACATGGCACCCTAATGTTCCATGTACACACTAACAATAACACACACGCATGAGTGTTGGTAGAATTTGTGGGTACATAAGTTTTATTTAGCTTCCTCTAATCTAGACATGCTAATATGTTATAATTAAAGTCCAATTAAATTAAAGAGCCTTTTGGTTCATGGAAATTAGTTAATCTAGCTAGACACATATAAGAAGTGTGCACATGCAAGTAGACAGTTAACGACGCACGCATGTGCGCAGCATATGCATCTTGGGCCACAAGATCCGCCTGGGCCTTAATGATCAGGTCAATCTCGTTGTCTGTTGGAATTCTCTTTCAGTTCGATCGGTCCACACACTTGCAACAACGTTACACACAGCTGCTAGCAAACTAGAGTACTCGCAACAACGAACTAATCACATAGTACACGCCGTATGCATGTATCCGGCGCCTAAACTAATTATAAGTGATTTCTCGCGCTTTGTTATGAAAATTAATAAGTAATTTTCAACATTATTTTCCGTTACAATTGAGCTAGAAAAATTAAATGAATAAAAACAATCAAATCATAGGGCTTATTAGAATTTATCATGAAACATACAAACGAAATTTGCACTTTAATATATTGATAAGTATATATTAAATATATAAACATGATAGAGAGATTTGTAAAACTACTGTGGAAATAACATGAGGTGATGATTGGATATGCTTACATGTTAATTTGTAGAATTAAATAGATTGTACATGATGTTACATGCTTGTATGATGTTAAATATGTAATTATTGCTAGTGGGTGATGAGATGACACGTTTGTTTGTATGTTAAGTTTGAGAGTTAATTAATGAGTTAAAACTTTATAGAGAGTATAGATTACACTCGATCGGCGCCGCTAACACGTAGCATAACACGCAGACGGCAAGAAACGTCGACGTAGTGTACTAGTGTACTAGTTTTCCCCAACCGCGCACGTACCATGCATGTGTGGGGAGTTAAGGGCCCAGTTAACCCCCAAAGCCAATGCACGTTTTCGACGGCGCGAATTACGCGCCGATCGACGTCGTGAAAAAGAAGGCGTCGTTTTCGGTCGTGTTGTCCATGTCTATGCAGCAAAACGGTGTGCGCCGTGTACGCGCGCGAGCCCGCCCAAATCGACGAGACTGTGTACGTGTCGCAACGTGGCCCGTAGTAGTGGGGGAAGTACCGTAGTACTACTCCACAGTCCACACCACTACACCACCACCCTGCGCGCGCGAGCGCCCGCGGGAGCGGCGGGCGCGCGCGCCATCGTTCGTCCCAGCGTCGTACGTGTTTGCGCGCGCGTACGTGCGTCTGAAGCCAAACTGGGCAATGCAAGGTCGATCGGCAGGTGGTGCTCGCTTTTTTTTGGAACGTGTGTGCGCAGTGCAGTGCAGGTGAACGTACGATCGTCCGTCGTCGGTGCAAATCATGCATCTGGTGCGTATGCACTACAGCATTACTAAACTGTAGATGCATGCATATGCATGTAACGGAGGAGAGTCTCGTGATCTTTGTATCAACCAACGATGACCGAATCCGTTCAGCTGTTAGCGGTAGTTGCGTCCGTCCGGCCGGGCGCCGATGGACCCCGTCATGCTCAGTTGACGTGCCACCAAACTTAACTGAAATGCATGGAAACGCGCGCGCGCACAGTCACACATCTATATACTGATTCGGAAAAGTATATATAAATTTGGCACTATGTGTACGTCATCCACGCGTGGTCGATCGGTGTACTACTGCTGCTGTATGTTTTTGTTCTAGTTTGCACCATGGTTGATCCAGGAACGATCGATCTCAACAAACGTATAAAGTGACGACGTCGGCCATGGTTGACGTACTGACGATCGACTCGCCATGCATGCATGCATATGCACGACTTCTTTAAAAACTGTGAGAAAACCCCACATGCATATACTCCAACAAAGACTAACGAACACACCGGAATCCGGAAGCACCAGGATCGAACCGGACCGTAGTTTCGGCCACACACACACACAGATACATACATGTACATACATACACACACACACACACATATATATATATATATATATATATATATATATGAAAATGGTTCTATACTCCTAGGGAGTACGTACTCCCTCTCCCATCCACCGTTCATCTGATCGATCAGATATGTACTCCCTCCCTCATCATAACGGGTTTGGCTCGGTGGATCCGATTAGTTTTTCTAATTAAAAGACCGGACTGCTTATCCCGTAATTTGGGGTTTGCTCCCAACAGGCCAAACAGATTATCCCGAAAATTGGGGTTTTGGGGGGCGGCGCGGCGACGGACCTGCGCGACGACGGACCAGCGATTCAGCTTTCGGGGTTTTGGGGGGCAGCGCGGCGACGGACCAGCGATTCAGCGGCGACTGTGTGGCTGGCGGCGGTACAGAGATAGCAGTTCGTTCCTTCCTCCAGTGATGACTCCTCCCCTTCCTCCAGCGATGGATCCTCTCTCAACAGCATGTGTTCCTGAAGCAGAAGTAATCGATCTAGAGTCGGCTGAATGCAGGAGCGGGGCAACAATGGCAAAATCGATGGGCCATAGCAGTGGATTTCATCCAAAGCAGCAGGTTAGTATTCGTTTATTTTTGTACGGCAAGATCAAGACACGTTGCCTAAAATTTTCTTCTTTGCCGCAGGGTCACAGGAAAATTAGTTTGTCACCACAGTCCAAGGTATGCCACCTGAAATTGAATACATGTATGCCTGTAGAGAGGAATTAGGTGTAGTTCGGTTCATGTACTCTCTCAGTTTCAGATGCTAATTTTTCCCTTTTTAGTGCATATGATGGTTTTTTGGGTGGATGAAGTTAATGCTGTTTTAGCCCCCACCCCCATAAAGAAAAATGTAGATGGTAGTACGTACTGAATTTTCAACGGTATATACTCATTTTTTCTTTGGAGGGAAACTTTTTGGAATCTGCTAGACGGTATTAAGTATTGATTTTTGGTGTGGCAGGGTTCTTACTGAACTCTCTGTTAGGCAATAGTATATACTGAATTTTTATGTGGGGAGCTTTATTCTCTACTTTGTTGGACGATAGCATATACTGCATTTTCCACATCTATACTGAATCTTTCCACAGTGATTCATAGACTGAACTTTGATACGCACCAGTATTTACTGAATTTTTCACAGATATACTGAATTTTTCTATGGGAGGCTTTGTACTGAGCTTTGTTATACGACAGCATATAGTATGTACTGAATTTTGTATGTGGTACATACTGAACTTTTCTAGAAGATAGCATATACTGCATTTTTCCACATATATACAGAGGCTTTTCCATAGTGGTTTACATACTGGACCTTGTTACGAAGAAGTATATACTGCACTTTTACATAGAGAGGTATATGCTGATTTTTTACATACAGTAATATTCTCTAAACTTTGCATATACTGACTTTTCTTTCAGTGCACATGATTTTTTTTTAATTAAGAGGGTACACATAGGTAGAATTTGCTACGCAGTATTTTGTACTTCATCTTTCCATACATATATGAGTGTATGCTGTTTTTTTTAAAAAAATAGAAGTATATGTTGAATTTTTAAATACACTGGTCCATGTAGTATTGTCTATTTATGAAATGAAAAACTAATTATCTGCAGGCTTTGAAGGTTTCTGGCACAAGGGGCAGCCTAAATAAGACTGCTGCACGGGTGGTATCCAGGTATCGGCAAAGCAGAGTTTTAAATAGACAGAAGAAAGACAACACTACCTTTGGTATCAACTGCAGGTGTCAGCCCAAATGCGTAGTGAATATCATTAAAGAATTCGATGATAGGAAGAAGGAGTTGATTGGTGAAGTTGGGTTTGATGGACTTTTGGATATCAAGCTTACTAAGGTAAACAGGCAGTTTGGTGCATGGCTACTGAGCAAAGTTGATCCGAAATCATGCGCTATTGTTTAAAGATGTCAACCAGGAGTTGCCATTCGGTCCTAATGATGTGAATGCAGTTTTTGGCTTGCCATGCTCAGGTCAACCTATTATCCCTTGCTCTCAAGATGAATTGGATGGGAAGAAACAAATATTGTGCGAAATATTTGAGATACCAAACTTTTCACACCTGAAAATATCACTCTTAGAGAGAATCCTAAAGAAGCAGTATGGTTATCCCATGACAATAGATGAAAAGAGGGTTTTCATGGCGGCTTTTGTGCTTTGTCACAACGAAGCTTTTGGCACCGCAATCCTGCGCAAACTTCATATCTCCTAGGTATATTATGGCTGTTTCTGATGTTGACAATATAAAACAGTACAACTGGTCCCAATTCGTTGTAGATGAGGTGAAGAAAGCAGCAGAATCAATGCCCACCTGCTTTCCGAATAAGGCTCAACTATCCATTAACGGGTGTATCATCTTTCTAATGGTTAGCATTTAAAACTGACTTGTTAATGCAGCATACAATCAACACACATATTGTCATTGTGAATCATTTTTGCAGGTAAAATATTTGAGAAATCTCCAGTTCCGGAAGGTTGGGATCACATGTGTTAAAACATGTCACATTTCTCAGTTTGAGGATGATCAAATTGCTAGGATGATTCAACAAGATGTAGTTAGTAAACATAACCCAGGATTCCCCTTCCCTCGTTATGGGAAACTCCAGGTATGTACGATACCCTGGCTGTAATATGCCTATTTCTGGCTGCAAAATTTAGCTAATTTCCGATATACATGCTGTTCAGTTGATGAAGGAACCAAGAGAAAACAACCCCCATGTGCCAGAGCTATCTCCCCTAAACTTATGCTCCGGTTCGAAGATCCCATCTAGAGCCATTGATGGCGGTAAAAATTTAATAAAATTCCTGGAATCACACTTCTCTTCATTAGACGTACGTGGAACTGTCGGGTCACAGGTATGTCAACCATCCGTATGCTATGTTACTTGATTGTTTCTTCATTAAGTTGTAATTTTCACATGATCAAGGGATTTTAAACTAACATGTGGTATATATGATAACATAAAACAGGCATACGAGGAGTTGAAATCTTACATTCAGGATGGATTCGACCGCATCGATGAGATTTTGCCTACCATATCAGATTTCGTCGACATAAGCACCATGCAAACTGCTATTCACACATCTAACCTATTCAAGAGAGCTTTCAAGACTAATATTACAGCGGCAGTTAAGATAGCGATAAGGGCAGCAGTAACGAAAGTTATTGATACCATTGAGGATATACAAGGGCCTCTCCATCCATGGGGAGACACAACTGCCATGGGATACCACACACCCACAAACTACTCCACACATGCTACAAAAGATGCTAGTCAATTGGATCAACCAACAGGTAACGTTGAGTACATACACCATTTTAAAAATAAAACTCGTACTACTTGACACTCTTAACAAATTTTCGGACGCTCTTCATGTATCAGATACCCAACAATATGATCACAAAATTGGAGGCTTGCAGTGTACTCCTCCAAAATCTAATGGAGCTCCAGGTTGGTGTACCAAAAGATTAAAAATTCCAACCAACAATGTGTTTACTCCTGATCATGCGAATGTTTTCAGATTCGAAAAAAAGGCCAAATTCTTCAGTATCGCCTACGTCGGGAACTCGCATGACTAACCAATGTTCCATTATGCTAATTGAAGAATTCGGTAGCGACGGGCAGAAGAAGCGCAAATACACCGTTGAAAACCCACCATCTCACTTGCTGAAGCACAAGTCAAAGCGTGTAGTCAAACCAAACAGGAAGCTCATGTCACCTTTCATGTCAAAGCAATGCTCAACGGAGAGGCTGGAATCCAGGATTGCTGACGACCTGTATTCCTATATAATGTCTATTTCTGACGATGCATCATTAGAGTAAGTATCATTCTTCTTCCAGAATAATTAAGCATCTCACCCCACCAAATCTGACATTCATTTTTATCCATGGTTTATTTCAGAAAAACATGGCTGCAGAGCTCCCATCCTTTCAGAATATCATTGACGCTACGAAACATCCAAGAAACTATAAAGATTGGGAGCCAAATGGATTCAGATTCTCTCAACCTTGCAATTCGAATAATGTTCCAACAAGAAGTTGAGAGATTTCACAACACAAACTACCTTGGTTGGAGGCATTTCATTAACCAAGATTTTGGGGTAACATTGCATGCAATAAACAATATATTTCTTTCATCAATAAAAATATAAATTCAATGATTCTTTCTGTATTGTCAGATGTACGCGCTAGCTGGTGAGGAATTTTGGGAAGCTAGCCATCAACTTGCACACTTCTCGGGCCCAGAGGTAGTATATGATGTTTCAGAAAGCCACCTGGTGAGTACAAATTTGCAGTTCGTAGATTGTAGAAACTCTTGTAAACAATAGTACAGAAGTAGTCCCACTGAAAAACCTAAACTTTGCAGATACTGATTCCTGTTCACCTATTCAATCATTACGTGCTGTACGTATTTAACATGGAGAGCAAGAAGTTATCGGTGCTTGATTCACTAAACACAGAAGATCCACTAGGGGAATCACGTTTCACCAGGCATGACAAGATAAAGATCATGGTGTCACAGTGTGTAATGGAATGCATGCGTCTTGCATCTCCAGGGTGGAACATGGACATACTTAATTGGGACTTTGAGACAGTTGAAAATATACCAGAGCAGCAGAACAGGTGAGTGACTCCTAAAACAAACGAAATACAACCAACCCAAAGCTTGTACTGACACTACTTTCTCAAAAACATACAGGGATGACTGTGGCTTTTACGTATTCAACTTTATGGTGAACTACGATGGTCGTCGTCTTCTGAACCCTATTACAGAGGTACATAATGCTTTCATATCCGCACACACCGCACTCCACCATAAATATGTCCTCATAAAGCTATAAAGAAAATACTCTAACTTTCGCAGGACCCGTACTACCTCCGGAGGCAATTTTTGATCCACCTTTTGACTCTGCGTGATAACGAGGCAATACTACCAGAATATGTGGTGGACCGTCTTCGACAAATTAAAGACAATTAGTTTAGCAATTTTCTACTTCTAGCTTTACCAGAACATTTTCATGTAATCTTCGAAATACACTTATGTCCTATCTTGACAGAATCATGAAAACATTGCTATGCATGGACAAAGTATCGTCTGGGTTGCAATGACAGTTGCACGAACTGTGCTATGGAAATTATTCACTATGCCAAACAATAACAGTATGTCATTTACTTCCATTTATCATTTTCAACGGGAGGATTCAATATATGCGGTGACTCTGCGTAAATTATGTCATTGACTCTGCGTGATAACGAGTCAATTGCTATCGATCATTATGTCCATTTCAGTGAACGGGAGGATTCAATACATTGCACAGCTAATTTCTATCTCCATACCTAAAAAAACAACTCATATCCACACCAAATCACACTCCTTTTGCAAACAATGATCATCATAAATACCAGTATACTATATCTCTTTCTCTCTTTATAGAGAAAGCACCATCATCCAAATGAAACTAATTACAGCAGACATCCATTTTTAACCGGTGCAAATACACTACCCAAAAAAGACACAATTTACTACTAGAAGCATACTTTACTTAAGGTCGTATATACTGACCAATCCACAGGTTACATAATCTTAATAAATTGCTCATAGGATGAAAAAACACACGCCTCTCAAAAATTTGTTCACGTACTTAAAACAAAACAACTTCTAACAATCAGAGGAGTCCCAACTAAACTACAGGGAACCATATTCTAAAGTTTTCTCTTGTACGTAGATGTCCGGCCGCAAGTCCGCGAATTATGACCAGCTTCGTGGCATGTGTGGCAAAACCTACGAGGAAAGGGCACTTCATCCTCATGATCAATGACTTGGTTTTCTTTTTCAACGGATTCACACTCATTGGTTGTGTTCTTCTTCTCAATCCCTACTTCTTTTCTTCTTTTCAGGCTGGCAACCTCACCACCCGATTTATACCTATTCACCTTAGGTCTTCCTCTGCTTCTCTTTTTCAACGGTGGAAGTATATCAGCAGTCAAATTTCCACCCTCGTCCTCACTTGGCACGTCATACTCACTGTCCTCATCACCTCCACCAACATCTTCGTTTCCATCTTCAGTCAATACAGTAGACCTTGATTTATGCCTAGCTGCTCGCTTCGGAGCTTCTCTACTATTGTCACCATCATCCAAAGATAACTGATTTTTCATGTCCTCCAAAAGCTTATTCATGACTGTCATTGCCATCTTAAATGTCTGCACATCTTTGTTAGCAATCTTAGCCACCTCCACAGTCTTCCTATTCAGCATTACATGTCTGTAACTCCTCGATTGTGAAGCATTGACATCATCTTTGTACCCATGTAGATGAGGTGGTATAGTATCCCGAGCATCCTTCGTCCATCTTTTCAGTATATACCTCTCTGGAATTCTTGACAAACCATACTGAACAAGTACCTAAAGGGACAAACCAATGCATTACTTCAAAAAGCCAAACAGTACCGAACATATAGTACGACCCAATGAAAATAAATGTTTAGACAGTAGAAGAAACAAATACCCTTAAGATGTGGCTGCACAGAATCCCCTTATGCTCAAACATCTTGCAAACGCATGAAATTCATCTCTTTCCAAATCACAAGACACCTGATATTCCTTCCTAAGGAATGATTCTTGCGAGTTCATCCGTACAACTTGCACGGTGCTTTCGTCCTCCCCAGGTTTCACCATGTAAGATAGACTATCGGTTAACTCCTCAGAGAACAATTGGAAAACAGCCCTAGTATATACTTGGGATGCGTGAATCTCTATCGGTGACCTTGTTTTAATTTCAACCTTGTCCTGCACCAAGCGACACCAAATGTTGATTACACATATCCATAAAAAGAGGTCAACAAACCTATCACAGTGGATACTTACATTACTGGTTTGGAATTCCTCCGAGTCCTCTTTTTGCAGCTTCTCATTGAAAAACCGGTCGTACCTCTTAACAAAGCCATTCATAGAGCTAGAGGGTGACACAAACATCTTAAACACATGGTTTGCAGACTCACTTCTCTGTGTAGTAGTCATCCCAGCAAAGAACCTATGGGAAAAATATACAAATGCCCATTTACGCCTTATGTCCCATATGTGACGCAAGTTAACACTTTTTTCCAGATTATAATCTCTAATCAGTTTGTGCCAAGCCGCAACAAACTCCTCCTCTGTTAGTGTCTGCGTAAGAACCTTATGAAATACTTTCTTGAATGTATGACGCTTGGAGTATATGTTCCCCATAAATTCCTTTGCTTTCTTCAGTACATGCCACTTGCACACACGATGGATTGTATTGGGAAATACTGTTCTAATGGCAGCTGCCATGGAAGGACAATTGTCTGCAAAATTAAGGACAATAATAAGCATCCAATGAATAACCCATCATATACTTAAAATAAGTAAAGTATAACGAATTCATTCCAAATTATAAATTCGGCCAAATACTCACATACCTGTTAATATTCCAATAGGAACCTTCCCATTCATGCACTCTTTGAATGTATTGAATAACCATGTAAATGATTCTTCAGTCTCTTCTCTAAGCAGGGCACAACCAAAGAAGGTGCTCTGAAAGTGATTGTTTACACCAACAAATGGTGCAAAGGGCATATTATACTTGTTTGTTTTGTAGGTAGTATCAAATGTGATGACATCACCAAAATGCTCAAAGTTCAATCTGGACACAGCATGAGACCAAAATATGTTCTTCACACGGCAAGCCTCGTCAACTTGTATACTATAAAAGAAATTCTTGCTCCTTTTTTGCAAATCCTTCAAGACATCAAGTGTTTTTTTGCATGTCATCGCTGCTCTCATCCCGCCTAATTGCATAAGCAACCCTATCCATAGCTTTTCTCGTGAATGGAACCATGGAAGGTCCGCCATGCATCCCAGACAACATACCATACATATTTGTAAGACTCATACTACTGTCTACCATCTCTTCAATAATACCACGAGTCCCCTCATCTATTTGATTGTGCGACTGATAATTCTTAGTAACTCCTACACTTTTTTTCATAGGATGGTTGTGCGCAGAAACAACCTTTGTTACTGACCAGCCACTACCAGCTCCAGACATATTTATCTTCATCATTGCTGGGCACCCAATTCGAACGGAAGGCTTCTTGGTTTTTGGGTTCCTCCCCTGCATAAAAGATTTCGAAATTAACACATAGTACGTCAAGTCTTTATTTAGGTAAATTTCTGCTACTAAGATATTGTTACATAATGTATGTACCTGGTGAGAACAACATATTTGCCGCATTGTTCTCTGCTTTTTAGTATTCATGCGATCTTTGTCCAGTCGTATCCCAAATCCTTTACTAACAGCATAAACATTATAAAAATTATAGGCATCCCTCTCAGTCTTAAATCTTTGTCCCAGCATCGGAGTAAGAATTTGAGGATCAGCATACTCAGGAGGTATGACAGCACTGCTATCAACATTATCTACCACCATTCTGAAAAGAAAATGTACAATCAGTTTTCAGAAAATACCACCAATATCCTGGCTAAAAAAAAAATCGTAAAAATCCGTAACATGCTGATACAAACCTTTCCATCGGTATCCCAGCTCCTTCTTTTTCATATGGGTTTCCTTCTGTCCAATCCAGTGAAGGGACCAAATTTCTGTATTGGAGACACTATATTTAAAAATAGCATATACTACTACTAACTGAAAATGTAGTTTACAAAAAACAACCTAATTTATAATCAGTACTTACTGCAAATTTAAAAAAAATATATGTTGTACTACTAACAAAAAAATATGGGGAGCTTTGTTCTGAACTTTGTTAGATGATTGTATATACTCATTTTTTAAAATGGAGGGGTTCTTTCTGATTTATGTTGAATGATAGTATGTACTGAATTTTTCTATGGGTTACGTACTGAATTTTTCTAGACGATAGCATATACTGCATTTTCCACACGTATACTAAATCTTTCCATAGTGATTCGTAGTCTGAACTTTGATACGCACCAGTATTTACTGAATTTTTCACATATATACTGAATTTTTCTATGGGAGGCTATGTACTGAACTTTGTTATACGACAGCATATAGTATGTTCTGAATTTTCTGTGCAACATACTGAACTCCTCTGCAATATAGCACATACTGAACTTTTCTATGTGATACATACTGAACTTTCCTAGAAGATAGCATATACTGAACTTTCTCATGTGACACATACTGAACATTTCTATGTAGTATATACTGCTTTAAAGTGAATGCTCAGCTGACACCTAGCCATGCACATACCTTGTCTCTGGAATTCCATGCCCTGAATCATGTGATCCAACCCGCGACGGCACGTCCTCCTCCATTGCTACACGGCTTCATAACACAATCAAGATGTGTCAGTATCTGGCTACCATTTACAGAGTTTTAAATTCACGGAAGCTACGATCCAACCTTGACTGACCACCATCCGGTTGTGAATCATGGACAGATTGACTAATACCATCTACTATGTCCATGGTAGGGTTGCGCTCGTCCATAAGAATTTCCCTGAATTGATGATTTAGAATTGCTCAAGTTCACACGGCGAAATTCAGAGAAAAAAAACCAGCGGCACATACTGAAATAAATCACTGAAACAGAACAACATACCTTGATCCATCCGTACCATCAGAAGGTCTGTGGTTCTTCACTTGTTTATCCATCCTAAATCAGCACCGCCGCGCGGCGGCGTATCCTCGAGCTGGACTACGGAGGTCCAAACCAAGTTCCTGCAGCCCTGAACAAATGAAGCAGTATGTGGTTTGATGATTTAAATACCATTCCTCACCGCCCACTACCTGCGTACAGACCGATTCTTCAGGGATTAGTTATACACGAGCAGTCAATTAATTCAATTTTTAAAACAAAATACCATCCACGATCCACTAATAGGTAGATACCGCACGTCCCCTTCACTGCTAACCCGTTATCAGGTACAAATCTCAAAGGTAATCAACGGTATGAGGGTAGGGAGTATGTACTCCCGGGAGTACATAATAGCCTTCCTATATATATATATATATATATATATATATATATATGTGTGTGTGTGTGTGTGTGTGTGTGTGTGTGTGTGTGTGTGTGTGTGTGTGTGTGTGTGTTTCCGGGAATTTGGTGATCCATCTCGATCTCTCCTCTCTTGCCTTTGTTTTGTTTTATCAATTTTACTCCCAACTATTGATATTGTTATGTTTAATTACTTAACAACATATGGGACACTGCAGTCAGGCTGCCCAAAAAAAAACGTGGCTATAATTAGGATAATTAATCTTATCTTATATAGTGAAAGCACCAAGCTTTCTTGCACGAGAACACGCCACATCATCAAAACCATATCAACCGTTGAATAAAGAGTTTAGATAAATAATGACCATTGGATCAAAAGGTTACATATGCATTAAAAAAACAATAATGGGGTAAACATATGGGAATTTCTAGAGATTCCTAGTGCCTCTTTTTAGACACATGGTACAAAGAGAGCGGGGCAAAGATAACGAAGGAAAAAAAAGAAGCTTATAGTATAGTGATTTCTCATATAGTAGGACTTAGCTAAATCTATAGTTAGCTAGACCAATATGCACTTTGTAAATAAAATAACTCATCTAAAACCTTTAAACTAATAGGTCCTATACAACAAATAGTTCTTATACGAAATCAAAAGTCGCGCAACGCACGACTATGTGGCTTGTTCGATTGATATATAAGAAACTGATGCGGCTTTCGCTAGCTAGCTAGCCCGGAACTTTCGCTAGCGTATGCGCAGCTGGTTGTCATATGCCAAAACATGATCATTGCGTGTACGGAGAACATAATGCATGGTGTTCGTTAATCGTTACGCGCGCGGTGGAGAATTTGATTGGAGTTTTGAATGGGTCTCGCCGTTTCGTAATCGTTGACATGTTTTTCAACAAGGATGGGATTTAAATGGCCATTTTCAGGACAGCCAGCTGATCGATGAGGAAAGCGAGCGAACGTACAAGCGTACTTATGCAGTTCGGTCGTCATTTTTGGCAGCGAACGTACGTATGCAATATTGTGTGCACAGATCCATTCATGTTTCCGAAAGGCGAAAGTGACCTAGCAAGCTGGCAAGCTATGCCGATCAAGATCTTGTACTCTTTCTGCATGATCCGAGTTAAAAAGGAGAGCCGTAGGGTGGCCAGAACACGCAAAGCCAATGCCAAGTTAATCACACAGTTCAAGCAATAGCTCGCTACTTCAACTTGCAGTATTTATATCATTCAATCTCATCTCGATGTCCAGTTAATTGTCCACTACCACTAGGGTCCAGGCTTATCAGTTTTATCACCCATGACATATGTAGTGGCACATCAGAATTCAGAAACACACCATTGACCTCCATTTCTCTGAACTAGAAAGGAAGCCCGCGCAGATGCGCGGGCAATTTTTTTTTTATAGAAAGAATACTAAAATAAACCATATGTTACCGTATTCATTTTAAGAACCATATATTACCTTATAATCTAAAAGAAGAAATATTTATTATGTGAAATAAATTATAAACTTTGATATACTAATTGATAATATCTATTATATTCAAACAAATTTCACTTTGTCATGGCTATACGTAAAGTCGCATATCACCATCTACCTTATAATCTAAAAGAAGAAATATTTATTATGTGAAATAAATTATAAACTTTGATATACTAATTGATAATATCTATTATATTCAAACAAATTTCACTTTGTCATGGCTATACGTAAAGTCGCATATCACCATCTTTCGCAAACATACAGGTTAATATGGGTTTAGATTTTTTTTTCTTTTACTATACATCTAAGTCACCTACGTATATTCAGGGGTAATATTCAAAGGAATAATTCATATTGTCAAAATTATTTGTGCTAATTTTGTGAACACTATTTGGATGAGAATGACATAATTATATAAGGATATAATAGGTTTCCATGCAACATTTTTTATTGTACGTATGTATTTTTTTTGTGAATAGTACTGCGTATATTCGTAGGATGGTTGTGCACATATTTATATGAGTGTCTACGATTTCGTTTTAGATCATTAGTTAAAAAATACTTTAAAAAAGTTTGGTGGGATGGCATGAAGTGATGCCACGGTGGCATGACTTTTTCGATAACATCGTAAAGAGTTTCCCTATATATATGCATAATTTGAGGAAAACTTTAGTGCTGCAAAGAAAGAAAAAAAAACAGACGGAGTAGATCATATATACATTCTTCTTTTTTTGTCCTTTTTGACATCTCTTGTGTGTGTGCGTACGTACGTACGTAGGGAGAGATTAGTTGGTTTTTAGCTGGAATATATCCAATCTAATGGTTGAAAATAATGGATCTACCAGTTGAAGCGTAAATTAATGACCAGATATTTTCTTTTTTATATTTTTTCTTAGATTTTTTTTTTCTAATTTATGAGATCTATTACGTGATATATTAAGAGTTCTTTTAGAAGTGTAGAAATTCTATTGCTTATACTGACAATATACTTGTAGTCGATTATTATTTGTTGTGGCTTGGTGGTATGCTTTACTTTACCTATCATTTGTTGATAGTTCTCCACTTAGTATAGTCGGTTATATATGGTGCTTCATGACATAAGTGCTCGTTGGATGTTAGCTAATTATTAGGTGCACTATGCAATGAATATCTCGTAAGCAATATGACTTGATGATTAGAGGATAGTGTCAGGGTTATGGATACCACATACCTAATAGTAGTTGACTAAATCTCGGCAGGACCCACCACATACCATGTCCTATACGGAAACAACCTGCGGATATAGGAGGAGTTCCGGATAAGGAAAGACAACCAGAGTTCTATATGAAAACGATAAGGACTACTCGGATTGTATCCATATTGCTTTCCCTAGTTCTACTTGAACAAGGGGACACCTATGGGTATAAATACAAGGCCCCCTAGGAGGAGAGGGGACAATCCACACACCCACAATCAACACACACGGAACAACAGAAGCCAACATACGCCAAGACAAGACGCTGGATATCAACTTCAGGGATAAGCATGGCTAGTCCCCTACGGTGTCTCCGGATACTGTCAGGAGAGACGAAAGCGCTATCTCTGATCTCGTCGGGCATGAATTCGAGAAGGAAGACTATCCTGTTGTCGACTACGAGTCAGAACTACAGACCACCATGTCGACAACAGTTAGATAGACTACCCCAAATATTGTACTGGTGTGATTATGGTGAATAAGAGCAATACCGGCTTCGGCCAACAGGATGTAGGGTTATTACCTGACAATTCAGGGGCCTGAACCTGTATAAAAATCTCTGTCTCCATCTTTTTTACCTCAGTCTCACGTATACCCTAGTACCAATGATCCCCATATTATGCAAATACCGGAATCGCGACATCAAATGTTGACAGATAAAACTTATGTACTTATGGATCCTTGGTGGCATATGATTGATATATTAGGATATTTTTTATTCATAAAGTATATTACATACTACATATTAAACGTTTTAGTAAATAAGCAATAAGTTCTAGAGTAATTATCGGATTGGTTGCTCCTTGTTTGTCGTAAGCATGTTTTCCTAGTTATCTACCCATTGATATAGGAATTATTACAAAAGACATATCTTTTGATAATAATATCTAAATCCATCTGAACCATTTTATGCACTATAATTAAATTGACAACCATAACCTACATCGTATATATTTAAAAGCAACTTGTGTATTATTAAAATATATTTTATATAAAAGTTTAAAAATTAAATAAATCTATTTTGGCTTTATTATATTTAATATTTAATTAATCTTGCACTAATGATATGTGTCTTTTCATGTATCCTGAATAAGCTCAGCCATCCAGCTAGATCAAATGAATCCTAAGTAGAAGATAAAGGAGATCAGTACGGTGTGAAAATAATATATACAATCTTTGATATTTAAATATTATACGAATAGAGAAAACAGAATATTCATGATAAATTTAGTGATATCATTTTGACATATCATTATTTTTTTAAGTAAGGAATAGGTAACTTTTGAGAATTGCTAGTCACAGTTAGAATTGTTTTTATTTTAAAAAATGCAAGTCTAATTTAACTATTACATAATATATACTTTAATTAATTTATGCTTTTCATTGGTGTTTCGATGACATGTGCCTATATTTTTACAGCGTAAGTAGAGCATAGTTAATATGGGCAGTTTGGTTTTTCTATCCGAGTGAGAAAAAAAGAAGATAAAAATATGTCGTTAACCCGGCCTTCTTATGTACATACGTACGTACTTTTTTATCTTGGAATACATGTACGTACCTTTTTTTTAATACCTACTAAACGTCCGTACTTATGTGCACATATAGATCGGCAATATTGGGTTTTGGCGATAAATTTAATTGGTTTTTTTATAATAGATCTAATGGTTGAAAATAATGGGCCCACCATATATTAAATGAAAATCGATGGCTGATATTTTTTAGAATTTCTATAACTTAATAGATCGTCACATGGCGGCGTAGGAGCGTTTTTAAGGGTCCTATGTGACGGTTTAGAAGGGTTTATACAAAGTTTAATAGACTTTTAATATATAATAGATGTGGCCATCCACTAATCCAGATCACCGGCATGCAGAAGCCTGCAGCCGATTGGTGGTGGCGATCGAGAGTTTGGTGGCATGGGCATGATTACGCAGAGCGCGCGCAATTAAGCAGCCACATGCAGAGACTACAACGTCGTCCCTCGATCGATCGATCGAATTCGGGCGGCGTTATCCGGTCGTCCTTCGTCTAATCCTCTCATCGTGAATCACGGGGAACGTACGTACGTCCTGACATGCGTACACCTCACGTCATCGTATCGTCGGCCGCCGCCAGTGATTAGCTCTGAACATGGGAGAGAAGATCGTCGATCGTTCATGGCCACGCCCAAGTCGAAAAATAGCAGAAATATGGCGCAAGTAGCCCGTTTGACCAGCACCGAACCAGGCCCAAAGCCGTCACAAACCGGGGCCCAACAGAAAGGCCTATTTAACTAGAGCCCACTAGGAGTTTGGAAGGTTTGGCACGTGCTCTTCTGTATCCACCCCACCCACTGGCTTACCGACATCTGGCCCAAGCTCTGGAATCCGAGCCATGGCGCATGTGAACGAACCACCAGTCCCACCACCACTCCCAAGGACTGATTGGTTGAGTCGAGAGGAGGAAGACGACCTTGGAGCAACCGGAGAGAGAAGCCAAGCCAAGCCACTGTGAAGGGAAGGGAAGAAACTCAGAAAGAGATAAAGGGGAAAGTATAGCGGGTTGTTGTTAGGTAGGAGATCGGAGTCTTGCCCTACGCACTAAATTCCACCGCTACGGCTTGGACTGGCGCGCTCCCACTGTGCGCTGGTGCGGGTGGGTGGCCTTCAAACCTAGCCCCCGTGTGGTTGCAGCGGAGCAGGAAGGGGAAGTCGGGGGAAAACCGAGAAGAATTCAAGGAAGGGGGTGATGTTTCCTCGATCTCTCTGTTTTCTAATTCGATTTATGCCCCAATTTTTGGTTGCTTGTGGGGAGATCGTTTGTGTTCTGTTTTGATTTTCCGCAAGGTTTCCTCTTGCTTTGCTTACTTTTCGTTTGCCATTAGCGGATTATTATGTTTCCTATGATTATTGCGCTGGTCTGGGGTGTTTTACCTGTGTGTTCAGAATCAGTAGCATTACATTTCAGTTAGCATATACCATGTGACGATTCAGAGTTGCCTGACTTATTACTTAGGCAAATGATTGTGGTAGTTAAATCCTCGTATTACTTAGGATGGATTAGTTTTAGTTGATATTATTCTGGAAGCTGGATGAACATTTAACTGACAAATTGTTGCTCATGGTAGATACCAGCAATTTCTCTGGTTCTAACTTTATTGAGTGTTACTTTATTTGATCAGTCAACCAACAAATCTACTGTTTTTCGGTTTCCCCTGTTTCGAGATGAGTTTTACTTCGATTACTGGGAGTTATAGTGTTCATCTTTGGTACATCTCAATATCTCAACCTGGCTGTACCTTATGGCTAACACTGATAACTTCGAAGGATTGCAATGCAAATTCCTCAATAATACTAGCCTACACTATACATTGCTGATTGGCAGTGTTTGCTGCACATCAGTATGTCAACTAATGCTGGTGGTATATTCTCTGCACTAATCTTTTTTTTTGCAGGGGATATTCTCTGCACTAATCAGCTGCAGGTTACCTTTGCAATGTTTTTTATTAGTCTAAAAGTTGTCATTGACTCATTGTACTACTGAACTGCTGATGCAATCTCCCTATACTTCTTCCAGTTACAAGTATATTAGGGAAAAAGAATTTTTAGCTGAGCTTCAAGGTTGATGGATCTATCATTTTTCCATTGCCACTGATCGACACATTAACAATGTTCAGGCTCTAATCAAAATCAGCATAAATGATGTAATCATTTTTGTTTTGATGGTTTACACCTAAACCATCTTTATAGGACAAACAGATAGAATATTTCTGTGTTAAATAAACAAAATGTCCAAGTTTCTCTAAAAGCAACCACTTACATATAAATAATGAGTTAGAAACACTTTTGGTAACCTGCTCCTATTATATAACCTCAGTACCTAACGATGTAAATTAAAGGTTACATGGTCCATCCTTGATAGTAGTATGATACGCTTATACAATTTTCGAATGACATGTAACCTAACCATCTGAAGGAAATACTTATATATATATTTTTAATTCTTGATGACTTCCAGAATCATGAGTGGTACGGGATACACAGTTGAAGTTACTAACCTGTCAAGCAGGGCATCTGAAAGTGATCTTCATGAGTTCTTTTCATTCTCTGGAGCGATTGAGCATATAGAACTTATCAGGTTATGTTGTTTACTTGTCCATTCAGAAGTTAATAGTTTTTTCAGATAATGGAAATGGTTTACTGTTTACATTCCTGGCCTCTGCATTGGAAGTAATATTTAGGTGACCCTTTACAATATCCATGCCAAGATTATCACTAAATAAGTAGTCACTGAGTTGTACCATGCTTCTTGTATTCTACCTTCTAGATCTCACTTTCATCCTGTTTAAAAGTTTGAACATTCTTCGTCTTTAACTGTAACCTGATTTAGCAATTTAAGAATTCAGCTTATTTGGATGTATGGATCCTCTCATCATCCATCTTATCATTTTATGACGAATTTAACAATTTTCAACAGATCAGGAGAATATGGTTCTACTGCTTATGTGACATTCAAGGAACCCTATTCCTTGGAAACTGCAGTATTGCTCAGTGTAAGTTTTTTTGGTAGCAGTATCTTTCAAAGCAGATGCCTGGATCAATTTTTTTTTCAATGCGTGTCTGATTCCTATCACTAATTCTTTCCTACCTAACTATAAATTCTTTAATTCTTCCTTTTGAGTTCTACACTTATCCATCTTAAATCTATTTACACAAATGATCACTGATCACGGTCCTGGACTACCATATTCCGCTCTCAACTATGCGGTTGAACTCTGGTTTCACAATGGTGAAATCCTGGAAATTTATAACTGTTACCACTAAACAAATAGTGAAAACAGTACTTCTATTTTCAGTATCAAGTACTCCCTCCGTCCCCTAATATAAGGGATTTTGACATTTTACTTGCATTGTTTGGCATTCGTCTTATTCAAAAAAATTTGAAATTATTTTTTTTTGTGACTTACTTTATTATCCAAAGTACTTTAAGCACAAATTTTTCGTTTTTTATATTTGCACAATTTTTTTGAATAAGAAGAGTGGTCAAACAATGCAAGCAAAATATTAAAATCCCTTATATTAGGGGACGGAGGGAGTATATAATATGTCCACTGTTCACTATTTTAGGTGTCAGTTGGAAAAAACGATTTTAGGTATCAGAGGCTCTTTCAATTTGATATATTCCAAATTCAGTCACTTAGGAAGCTACCATATGCCCACATACTCTCTTGGAACTACTTAGATTACTAATCTGCTCTTGGAACTACTTAGATTACTAATATGTCATCATATCTCTTTTACATTGTCAAACACCAACTTTCTCTATTGTTCATTTGATGTCACTTTGCATCATTACAGGGGGCTACTATTGTGGATCAGCCAGTTTGTATAGCTCGCTGGGGACAGCCTAATGAACCATACAATTTCTGGGACACACCAAATTGGTATACAGAGGAGGAAATTGAATACAGGGTATGCTAATCCGAATATTGCCTTGTTTGAATTTTTTTTTGAACGAACCGGCGAGCCACCATCCCTGTTTGAATTTGAACAGTAGCATAGTTTCCAACTCTTCCAAATGCCAGTAGCTGACATTTGACTTGATTGCTGAAACTTAAACAGACCTATCAAACATGCCAGTTCAATTCCACTCCACAAGAAGCTTTGACGATTGCTCAGGATGTTGTGAAGACAATGCTAGCAAGGGGATACGTACTCAGCAAGGATGCACTGGCCAGGGCTAGAGCCTTTGATGAGTCCCATCAGGTAACAGCGACTGCCGCAGCCAAGGCTGCGGAGCTGAGCAAGAGGATTGGCCTAACCGACAGGGTCAGCGGCCTAACCGACAGGGTCAGCGCCGGTGTTGGTGCAATCAGATCGGTGGATGAGACATACCACGTATCCGAGACGACCAAGACCGTCGCCACCGCCACAGGAAGAACAGCAGTTAAGGTTGTGAATGGCATCATGACCAGCAGCTATTTCTCTGCAGGAGCTATGATGCTGTCTGATGCTCTCCATAGGGCAGCACAGGCAGCAGCTGATTTGGCTGCTCATGGTAGACACAATTAAGTGAAAATAAACACCCGGTACATATATTGTCAGTTATTCAGACATCAGGATGAACACCCAAATATGGAGTACTTGACATGATGCCGTTCCAAGTATGATAATAACGGTGAAACCGGTAACAACTGTACCTACAAAGACTGAAGGAAATGTGTGCAGAACAATGTAAAGTATTTCAAACCGAGTCAAGTGATCGTGCAGTCATGTTTAACAGTTTCTGCTCGTTTTATATTCATGCTGATAGCATCCTTCATTCTTATTCTTTTAGGCCTTATCCTGCAGAACTATTGATCTTCCCACGTCGAATGCTGGAACATAAAAATAAATTCTGCCTTTGAATGGCAACGATAAAATATTGAGCTGAAATGGATTGCCAATTTCAGGACCCAGTTGGAACAGGAGAAAAATCCCTGATTCATGAGGGGAAATCTTGTAAAGTTCGTTTGAAATTCCTGCATTCCAATCCAGATGAGGCCTTTTACAGGTTGAGCCCCCTCTCTTCAATCTATATGAGGGGCAAAAAGAAAAAGAAATAATAGGATCTAAGCAAAATCCTCTTGAATCTGTATAGATTTCCTCTGAATATCAATGCTCCTCACACTGTACAAAGTACAAACGACTAAACACATGGCCGATTTTAATCTACGGTACAAGAAGCATCAGCAGCAGCAGACAGGGCATCTGATAAGGCCATTCTCGTTGCAATCGGGGCATCGCCGGAACTCGCCGGCGTCGACATCGTCGTCGACGAATATCTTGCAGCTGCCGTAGCACGTCTCGCACGGGACGAACCGGACGTCGCCGCATGCGGCGCACGCCTCCATGTACCCGAGCTTGCGCACCGGCGCGGCCTCGCACCCTTCCAGCATGCGCGCGAGCTCGGCCGCCTCGTGCAGCGCGTGGACGTCCTCGGCGCCGCCGAGGTAGCGCCCGTCGACGAACACCCGCGGGAGCGCGGCGCACGCGAAGCCGCCGGGGCCGAGGAGCTCCGCGAGCTCGGCCCTGAAGACGGCGTGCATGGACACGTCGCGCTCGTCCAGGCGCACGCCGTAGCTGCGCAGGATGCTGCGCACGGAGCAGCAGTCGACGAACGTCTTGCGGACGCCGCGGAGGCTGGTGAAGTAGACGACCGCCTTCTTGTCGCCTCCCGGCGGCCGCAGGTGCGCCACCTTCGCGTCGCGGGCGCCCTTGCTCGACCTCCGCTCTATCTTTTCTTGGAACGCGTTGATGCGGGCGCGGACAATGCCTGAGAGCTCCGGCATGTCGCCGGTGGCCAGCGAGATTGTCTTGTCGCAGGCGTCGGCGCGCTTCTCCGGCATGTCACCGGTGGCCAGCGATACTGGCGCGTCGCAGGCATCGGCGCGCTTCTCCGGCATGTCGCCGGTGGCCAGCGAGGTTGGCGCGTCGCAGGCGTCGGCGTGCTTCTCCGGTTGCGCCGGTTGTTCTTCTTCCTCCGTCACCGAGCAAGACGTTGGCTCCGACGGCGACGTGTCCGCAAGAGCCTCCCGGAAGCCGGACAGTATCTCCGGATCGAAGTCCAAGGCGACGATGGGGATGTCCGTATCAGCCTGCATCCACTGCGGCGTCACCGCCGGTGGTTCATGCGACGCGCACGGCGGCGTCGGCGGATCGTCCTCGAGCCCGGCCATGAGCTCCCACGCATTGATCACCTCTGGCTCGTTGGGCGGAGTCAGCGTCGGTGTGCAGGGCTTGATCACAGCCCGCTTCGCCGCCGCCTCCTGGACATGGAGCAACGCCTGCCCGGTGTGGTCATTCTCGCTCTTCATCATCCCCTCCACCGACGTGGTCGCGTACTTGAACGCGCCGGAGCGCCGGCCCTGGGAGATGCCGAGCGAGCTCAGCATCGACACGGCCTTCCACCGTAGCCGCTGCCGATCGACGGTGGGCAGCGAGAAGCTCCGTGTCGCGCGCCGGCCGGCGTCGGCCAAGACCATTTCCCGCCGCGCCTCCGTGGAGTTGGTGCACCCCATCGCCGGCACAGAATGGCACGACGCCGACGCGCACCTAGCTGCTGGCCGTAATCTTGCCTACATGCACACGCACATGCACGCGCGACTCGATCAAATGGCGGCTTGCGACCAGCGATCCTGAGCTCTCGGTGCTCGATCGGCAATGGCAAGCGGATGGATGTGTGTTCTTGGTCGTGGCGACCTAGAGGTGGTGCGGTTTTGTAGGAAGAAACGGACAGTTCACAGTTGGGCTTAATTAGTCCATGAAACGGGCGGAAGAGAAGCAGGGGAGGTAACAAAAATAGGAGGTGAAGCCAGGAAGACCAGCCGACGGCCGGTACTTCCATTAAACACACATTTCTGAAAAATAATTCAGCTATTTAATTGATAGTACTAAATTGTGCTGCTTATAGACTGATGGGTAACGGTTCAAACTAGGAAAATGGTGGGCACGAAGGAATGGTTTTAATTCGCACAGAAATGTTAGGAGAAATGAATGGAGGTCGCCCATGCTTTGATTGACATTTTAAGAGAACCTGCGTTATTCAATCTTGTATAGATTTAATTTTATGAATGTAACTGAAAGTTAGGAGTAATATGCAGGATCAAAACTTCTAGTACAAAAAAAAAATTATGGCAACAGCGTTAGCTTATCTTTAGGATTGCACGATTAGTTGATTTCATTTTGGCATACTACTTTGTTTTGGGGGTAAAACGAACATTTTTATCATATAAATATGTATGTCATACATTGGTTTGCTTCCAATAGTTTCCAAGCGATAACAAAAAAAAGTATAATATTCACTTAATATGGACAGACATGCATATTCATGTTTGAAAAAGATACTGCATAGTTTTAGTGTTTGACTAAGGTAGAAAGTCAATCCATGAGAAAAATACAGGGGTGCTAGAATGCTGTGAAGCCCAAACGTGAAAAGAACTCACAACATTGTTTATACATTTTGGGCATTGACCTTCAAATAAAATCCATTTGAAGGAATGAATTGATGATGCGGTATTCATAAAATGAAATTTCATTATTAAAAAAAAGAGGGGTATTTTTCCACATTTCAAACAGGGCCACATACATAACATTTTTTTCCTTAGTTAATATATCAGCCATAATCTACTAATAGTATTTTTAAACAATGAATTTTTGTACCGACAAAATAGTTAGTTGGTGAAACAAACACAACGTAGATTTTACCCCGGTTTCCATTAGCACAATTTCCAAACTATTAAACTGTATATTTTGTGTGAAAACTTTCTATATAGAACTAGTTTTGATATATTACATAAATCCATTTTTCAAGTTTAAAATAATTAAAGTTGAATTGATCATATGCTAATAGCTTTCTCGTTTTTGCATGTCTGTACTTAATCTTCATCTTCATGAAATCCACAGTAGATTTGGAGATAGTATATTCTCTATCCCCCCAATCGTCTCTCTCGTCCCCCGCTCCCTCCCCAACATCCATCAGTCCACCCATTGGCACCGCCATCCCATTAGAGTCGCTCCGTTGCAAAAGCCAAGAAAGGTGACATAGGATGTGACAGATGGCAGAAAGGGTAATGATGGATAGAGAAGATAAAGAGCGTAGAGAAAGGCAAGAGTACGGTTATTATCCTCTAGAAGACCTGAACATATGTAAAAGTTCATGAGATTTTCATGATCTCGAGTGGGGAAGTAAGCAAATCACAACCTTAAACGTATATACCAAACACTGGGTTCACCAGATTATGGTCTGTAGGGCACAACTCGTCAACGCACTCTATGAGTATCTCTAAGAGATTGGATTGGCATCTCTTGAGATTGACCAAGTTTTTACATGTGCCTCGTACAAACTATCTATTGTTGAAAGAACAATTATTTGTAAACACGAGCATTTCTAGTTAGATATTAACTCTTTGAAAACAAATTAAAAAGTGCATACTATTGACGCGAAAAAGGCACATTGGCCTGGGAGATCTGCTTAGCTCCAGTGCAGGATCAAAGGTTGATGAGATGCGGGTGCGCCGGTCAGTTTGACCCTGTAACTGACAATATATGCAAATAGTAGATCAATGAGTCGATCGGCTGAAAAGCCAATCGGCTATATTTCCAATGTAAATAATGATATAAAGACAATCGGTTGATGATAATAAAATATAACAATAATATAATCCATTAAAAACCAATTGGCTAGCAGTATGATATAATAGAATAAGTATTGATCCGAAAGTTAAAGTATACATCGGCTAGAGATCCGATATCATAAAACCCACATATTAGATTAAACTATAAAACCTTTGTTGTCATCAGCTAAATCCAACTTGTACGCAATCCTTGTAAGCCGTTGTAACGTCCAGATACCTCATCGGCTGAAACCCCGATGAAACCCTTATTAGCAATCAAGAAGCAGGCTAGATATTATGGTTCTAGGCACGACTTAGTTGATCAAACTTAACTGATACAACACTAAGTATGAAAAGAAACATAATATCTAGACAATCAAGCCCTTGACTGACTTTCAGGGTGGTAGATGTCTAAGCTAATCTAATCTAGCAAGATGATTTAGCCGATACCGGCAGAAACCCTAGAGCGAGAAGCAGCCGGTAGAGCTAAATCGATATGCTAAGACTAGATTAACAGAGACATATGATAAATTGGTAGGCAAAAATATCAACCGAACCAGAGCAATCCAAGAGGTCGAATGTACTGATGTAGTCTTGAACGACGCCAGTGTAGCCAATACAATTGCCAGGGCCGGCGGAACGTAGGACTTACCCCTTCGCCGGAGATCGAACTGAACCAATGCAGCCCCGCGTCAGGTGCCAAATTCCGCGGTTGATAAGTAAAAACCTCAGGAAAGAGGGTGGCGATACGCCGAGAGATAGTTTACAATGACCCTGGGTGTACATATTTATACCCATGGGGAGATACTAGTCCATGTAGGACAAGTAAGAAACTTTCTTAGAAGATAAAAGAAAAACATAAAGTCTTTATGGGACAGTAAACACACTTTCCTAAATATAGAAGGAAACTAACAAATACTGCCTAATTAATAGATAAATCGTCATGCCGCACCCTCCTTGAACTCAGTCACTTTTAGATAAGTTTCCTTTAACATATTGATTTCCTTAACCGAATATAGCAGAAATCCGACTATTGACGACGTGATAATTCTCTTAGGGGCTTACCAAATTTCACTGTTAACACATACACATACCACCCCATTAGAAATTAGTGTTCTGAAAAAAAATGTCATGATCACTTTTTCTGCTTTTTAGGCTATGCCTTTATATATGTAGTGCTTCTCACTTGGTGTATAGTAAGTTGATAAATTAAAATGCATAATACATTCTTTTTCATATCCTCCACATGTACATTTCCTCTTAAATACACACGCACTTGTCTAAGTGTGCTTCAATGCCTGACGAGGCAAAAAAAAATGTACCATACACAACGAGTTAACGTAACTGGTGGTACCTGACCGTAAAATTCCTCGCAAACTAAACAAATATATACTAGCAAATTAAGTGTGGAGACTCGATGTGATGATGGCATATGATACGTGATCGATCATTTGACGAAGCCCATGACGTTGGGCGTGGCGGTGTTCTTGAGCCACGTCAAGCCGTCGATGAAGACGCCGGCGGTGAACTGCGTGGCCTCGGCCTGGCCGATGACGCGGTATCCCGGCCACGTCACCCTCTTGCTTGTGCCGGCGCCTGGCCCGGTGTTGGCGTACTCGGCGTAGTAGAGCGTCTTGAGCCCCACGTCGCCCATCCACTCCGACCACCCCTCCGGCTTGATGAAGTCGCCGATGACGCTCTCCATCACCACCGTCCTCGCGTACTCCTTCCATGGCCGGCCGAGGTAGCTGGCGATCTGGAGGCGGACGGGGAAGAGCGCCTGCTCCGGCACGATGCGGCAATCCTGGAGCACGATGCCGGTGGGCATGTTGGGGTCGGTGCGCCCGTGCGCCGTCACCATGTTCGCCTGGTTGTCCATCGGCTTCCGCACCGTCATGAGGCAGCTCTGGAACACCGCCGCCGAGTTGCCGAAGATGTAGTCGATGGTCCCCGTCACCTCGCAGTTCCGGAAGAACTGCCTGTTGGCGTGCACGTACAGCGTGTCCTGGTACCCCTCGAACTTGCAGTTGAAGAACACCGACATGTCCCCCTGCACGTGCAGCGCCACCGCCTGGTGCCCCTCCGGCCCCGCCGTGTTCACGAACCCCATCGACTTGCACACGAATCCATTCCCCTCCGCCGCTGCGTCGTCGTCGTCGTCGTCGTCTCATGTTAGTGTCCGTACGTCTGCTCAACTGGATGAGTAAAGCAAAGGAGGAGGAGGAATGATGCTTACAGAAGGTGCGGGTGGCCATGGTGGCGACGCCGTCCTTGTTGCTCTTGTTGCCGAGGACGCGCGTCTTGGTCGGGCCGTCGCCGTACATGAAGATGTTGGGCAACGAGCTGGGGATGGTGACGTACTCGTTGTACTCGCCGGCCTTCACGTAGATGACGAAGCGGGTCGGGGAGTTCTTGGGCACGGCGTTGACGGCCTCGGTGATCGTCTTGAAGTCGCCGCTCCCGTCCTTGGCGACCACCTTGTCGGGCTTCTGCGTGCCGGCCTGCAGGAGACGCCGCTGGTGGGCGGACACCCACGACGGGAACTCGCCGGGCTTGGGCTGGTTGTGGCGCTCGTGTTCGATGTCTTCGATCGTGCCGACGACGTCCGTGGTGAGCAGCCGGTGGTGGGGGGTGGCCCTGTACTCATCTCCGAGAATTCGCTCCGGGATGGCGTCGGAGTGCACCGTGCCGTTCTCGATCTTGTCGAGCTGGCCCTTCGCCGCCGTGGTTGCTTCGTTGAGCTCCCTGAGCGTCGTGGACAGGAGCTGCCGCTTGCCGGCGAGCTCGTCGGGGAGCTCCGCCGCGAGGAGGTGGCGGTTCATCTCGGCGGACATGTCGGCGATGCTCTGGAGCTGGATGGACAGAAGCGCGCGCCCGCCGCCCTCGTGCTCGGTGGCGTCGGAGCCGTCTTGTGGCATGCTCAGCAGCCGGCGCTTGACGGTGTCGGCCTTGCTCGTCATGTTGTGGATAGCGTTGAAAAGCGTGCCCAGCTGCCGATGCTCGGCGGCGGCGGCGGCGGCGGGCTCCCCGGGGACGGCGTTTTTGGAGTCATCAACGGCCGCGGGCTCCTTGGGGTCGCCGCCGGGCGTATCGGAGTCGGAGGTGGAGTCCGTGGAGGAGCCAGCGTCACTGGAAGACACACTCAGCTGCCGATGCTCGCCGCTGGGCTGTTCGGTGCCGGCCTCGTTCAAAGACATACTCAGCCGCCGATGCTCGCCGCCGTGCACCTCGGTGTCGGCGTCGTTCAAAGACATGCTCAGCTGCCGATGCTCGCCGCCGTGCACCTCGGTGTCGGCGTCGTTCAAAGACATACTCAGCCGCCGATGCTCGTCGCCGTGCACCTCGGGGTCGGCGTCGTTCAAAGATATACTCAGCCGCCGATGCTCGCCGCCTTGCACCTCGGGGTCGGCGTCGTTTAAAGACATACTCAGACGCCGATGCTCGCCGCCTTGCTCCTCGGGGTCGGCGTCGTTCAAAGACATACTCAAACGCCGATGCTCGCCGCCGTGCACCTCGTGGTCAGCATCGTGGAAAGACATACTCAGCCGCCGATGATCGCCGCCGTGCACCCCGTGGTCGGCGTCGTGGAAAGACATACTCAGCAGCCGGCGGCCGGGGAGGCCACTGTCGTCGCTGTCGTCTGTGGCTTCGCTGAGCGTGACGCCAAGAAGGCGGCGGCCTGCGTCGTGGGACATCTCGGTGATCGCGTCCAGCGTCTCGGACAAGAGATGGCGGCTGACGTCTTTCACATCTGTGAGCTCCTGTACCTTGTCGTGGACGGCAAGAAGCTCGCGCAAGCTTACCCCCTCTGCCGCCTCACTGCCCTGCAACCCGAGAAGCCGGCGGTGCGCGCCGGTGGATCCGTTCGACTTGGCAGCCGGCATGAGTTCGCCGAGGCTGGTGATGATGGCGAGCGCGTTGCTGCTCAGCTCGGTGGAGTTCTGCAGGAGCTTGTCCATGGCCTCCTTCAGCTCCGGCTTGTCGAAGCCGTCGGCGCAGGTGTAGATGTACGTCATGACGCTGGACAGCCAACACCGGAGGTCGTTGACGTGCTTCGTGACCTCCTCGGGTTTGAGGCTCGCCATGCCCCTGAGATCTTCGATGGCGTCGTCGAGGAGCTTCTTGCACATCTCGATGGCGCTCTTGGTGATCTTGGCGTCGTCGTCCTTGCCGACGTCCATGGAGCGGTTGAACGCGCTGGTGACCTCTTCGAGCGCCACCTGCAGCGCGGCGCGGAGGACGCTCTCGGGGTCGATGGTGTCGTTCACGACGGGGCCGAGGCTCTGCTCGCACCTGCCAGGGTACCGCGTCACGGAGCACACGGTGGAGAGCCTGACGTTGGCGGTGAGCTCGCCATTGCGATCCTTCTTGGAGCTCGTGACCGCGGCGATCGCGCAGACCACGGCGACGACGCCGACGGCGGCGACGATGCTTCCGATGGCTGCGTTGTTGGGCATTGTTGGCGTCACGCGGGGGGGACGGAATGCCACGCGGAGGGCTAGGCCGGCATCGGCGTACGTGCGGTTTATATATAAGGCGTCATGCGGGTTGGCGCGAACCGCGGCAGCGTGTGGACAAGAGGACTTGTTGCCTTGGTTAATTTGGGTTCAGTTTCTGATAATTTTAGCCCAATTGGTTCTCCCACATGATGCATGCTATGTCTTTTTGTTGCCCAATTTCAGAGTTTGCCAATTCACCACGAAATCTCCTGCCAGTCCTTAAAGCAGAAGAAATGCAGCTGGTAGACTAAAATGGAAACGTAACACAAGTCTTCGCGTCTCTAGGATTAACAAATATCACCAAAAATTAAAAAGAAAATATGCATTTATGTCATATAGGATTACACATATGTGTACTTCTAAAATACGCAGGCAACAAATTCTGTTCATCTGTTGTGATGCAATTTGGCAATTCGAACCACTCATTTCTGAACTCCTCGACAACTTCCATCTTCCCTACACCTACAGCACTTTCAACTTCTGATCAGGAGCCTTCTGACTGCAACTTCCTTGCAACCTTCACGTTTTGTTTCGAATGAAATTATAGTAGTATTAAGCTTTTAACATTTACTACCTTGTAAAACCTCCTTTTGCAAGCATATATTACTCCCTCCATTCCAAAATATAAGGCACAACCACCCTTAACCTAAAGACCAAGAAATAATTACTATCACCTCTTTGTTTGAATCAATCCAATTAATACAATACATGCACCCAATAGAATTAAACATCTCGTGAGTGTATCATTTAAAAAGTAATAATTTAGAAGAGAAGAGATGCTAATTAATTGTCATGCATGCATGCACGTCTTATATTATGAAACACCTTTAAAAATTAGTTGTGCCCTATATTTTAGAATGGAGGGAGTATAATCGAAGATATTGTTTGCTGCAGTGAGATTGTGTTGCGAGACAACATACGGAAATTCTTCATTTTTCAGTTTGAAGTTGTATATTGTACATCTTCTCTGACTTTTCTTGCTTCGCCAACTGTATGACGGGAACCCATTCATATCAAAATTTCACGCTTCCCGTGCTTCAATCCAGTTGATCTGACGGCTAGATCCTACTAGTAACATAGAGCTGGGCCTTAGGCCATGCTTTCCTGGGCCGGCCCAAGGCACAATGGCCCGGCCCAGCACGACTCGCCAAGATCCCAGCGGATAGGCAGGCGGCCTCTCCTCTCCGTCGGCGACGCTCGCCGCCGGCCGCATTCTCGCGTCAGTCGTCACAGATGCAGCCGCCGTCGCGCCCGTAAAATCCTAGCACCATCACTCTGTTTCTCCGATTGCCATCCGCCCGGCCGCGCGGCGCGCGCTCCCGATTCGGTCGAACTGGGTAGCGCGCGCGCGCGGCGGCAGCCGCCTCCGGTGGTGGCGATCCACTGAACAATTCGCGGTCGTCGAAGCAGTGGCGCCGCCATTGGAGTCGGAAAGCTAGCACGTACGAGGTCGGCGGTCCAGCAAGCAAGCAGTCGGCCGTTCCGTCCACGCATGTATATCATATCGCACCGCCGTAGCGGCGTGACGTACCGGCCGGCCGGCCTGCAAGCTCGCCGTGCGCGCGATCGTCGTCTAGCCTGGACCCCGGATTGACGACGGCAAAGGCTTCAAATTGAACCAGTTTCAAAATCTTAATTTGGGGATTCATCATCAGTACACAATGTGTAAACCATTTCTTTCAATTTTAAACCTAGATTTCCATATGTTAACAGAATTGATTGTGAAAATGATTTGTAAATGTTCTCATCATATACTAGAATACAGTCAATTATTATACAGTAAGAGGTAAACACACATACTATGCGCTCCTCAATATATAGATGTTGTACAGTGGTCAGGAAATAATAGAGGTAATAGATCACTTTTAAGTGAAATGTTCCTCGTTGATATCTGATACCTCTTGTACATGCTTTCAATTAAGTAACAGAAAAGATAAAGCATCCCACATCTCAAAATGTAAGCCCTTTTTTTAACTTTTGCAGTCGCTAACTATATGTAAGTATAAATTATGTACCAGAACATACTAGCAGCAATAGTAGCAGCAACAGCAACAACAGTAGGAGCAGCAAAAACAACATCAATGAAATATTTACTTATTATGAATGCATTTTGTAAGACAAAATCCAACATTACTTGGACAAAGTGATCAACTTATATACTTAAGCACAAATAAATAGTCAAACTAGAAGAACAAATTAATGTTTTACTTGCTATATATATATATATATATATATATATATATATATATATATATATGCGCAAATTTTACATAGTTATATAGTTTGAGTTTAGCCTACCTGTTTTATGAATTCGACTAACATGTATTGCATGTCAAACGAGTGAATATAGCATTGGCAACGACAACGAGAGCATTGTTACTGATCAGTTAGTCATTGAGTTTCAAAACATACAAAAACCCCATATGGAGCACCAAGAGCTAGCTACAATAAATGTACACAAGCAACTATCAAGCATAGCAATATTCCCTTCAATTCAAATTGTGGCACTCATGTAAAAGAGTAATTTTAGTAGTGTCATATTAAGTGCTTGAAGGAAGCTCACGATAGTGCTGAACGGCTCCCATTGATCCTTCTCATGCTCATTTGACCTACATTATTCATCAACATCATATAGTAAATGTTTGGTGACACCAAGAGCTACTCCAAACACTTCACAACATCACTTGAATTAGTGTCGTATGAAGAGTTTGAAGAGAACTCATGGCGATACCAAATATGGCTCGTAGTTTGAAACATCACATGTTAAATGCTTGGGAACATCGAGAGTTCCCCCAAACACTTCACAATAGGCATTGAAATAGTGCCACGTGAAGTGCTTGAAGGGAACTCACGGTGATACCAAACTAGGCTTCACCTCTTGTAGTATGAAATGTCACTAATTACTCAATGCTTGGTGATGTCGAGAGTTCCCCCAAACACTTCACATAGTAGGTCCTAAAATAGTGCCACGTGAAGTGGTTGAAGGGAACTCACGATAATACCAAACGTGGCTCTTATCTCAATCTTGTGGTTTAAACACTATCTATTAAATGTTTGGCGATACCAAGAGTTCCCCCAAACACTTCACATAATAGACATTGAAATAGTGTCATGTGAAGTGCTTGAAGGGAACTCACGATAATACCAAACGTGACTCTCATCTCAATATTGTGGCTTAAACACTATTTATTAAATGTTTGGTGATGCCGAGAGTTCCCCCAAACACTTCACACGGTACGCATTGAAATAGTGCCACGTGAAGTGCTTGAAGGGAACTCACGACAATGCCAAACTTGGCTCTCATCTCAATCTTGTGGTTTAAACACTATGTATTAAATGTTTGATGGCACTGAGAGTTCCTCCAAACACTTCATAACAACCCTAACAATAATGGTGTCGTATGAAGTGCTTAAAGAGAACTCATAGTAATACTAAACTTTTCTCTTATCTCTTGTAGTCTAAACGCTATATATTTGAATGCTTGGCGACACCGAGAGTTCCCCCAAACACTTCACAACAACTCTCTAAATAGTGCGTCGTGAAGTGCTTGAAGGGAACTCCTGGGGTCTCCAAACCTAATCATGCATTCTCCATCACTTACAAATTGAATATCATAAGTAGGGCCATCAATTATAATTCCTAAAGTACAAGCACTTGCAGACCTAACATGAAAATGTTGATTGCCAACCGGAGTTCCCCCAAACACTTCACTATATACAACTAGCTTTTGGCCCCATGCTCACAGTTTTGTAACAGTGTAATGCAATGAAGCCTAGCTAGCTATCTACTGAAGTGATTTGAGGAGAACTCCAGTGGACAACCAACCAAATTATGACTCCTAGACCTGATTTCCTCATTTTTGATGTGGACCACTTCACTTGTTTAATCTGCCTTGATGATGAGCACAGAGCCGGCGGCTATTTATAAGTGTATGTATGACTAAAGAGTAAGCTAGCTAGCCATCTGCCTCCTGTGGACTGAGGAGTGTGCACATGGTCCTTGCAATGGAGCTGGCATATATTGGATGAACTTGGCAATGGATGCACCTAGCCGTAATGCAGCCTAGGTTAGAAGATGGAGTGTAGTGAAGAGAATCCAATGTGACCTTTGGGCTGCACTGAGCTCCGAATCGTAGAAAGCATGCATATGTGGAGCAAAAAAGTGCCCAGCCCTGCAAATTCCTTATCACCAGCAGAGCACTGTGTCGTCGCCTGGTTTCTGTCCACGCACATTTCTTTCGTCTCAACGAGATGGAGAGAGATCGTTCTGACCACTGATTTGCTGCAAATAATGTGCAGATTGCATGCTTGTGGGAAGAAACACGTATATGCAAGCTTGGATTGCGAGTAATCTTTTCTTAGTTTGTAGGTTTCGTATAATACGTCATTGCGAAATAAAATTTATAAATATACATTAAATTTTACGTAAAAATTTACGATTATATACATGCTTTTGAACGATTTGTGAAAATATACACCTACCACAGTTGAAAAATATGCGAGCGATTGTTTTACCAACAACCGGAACAATCCAGCGACGTGAGCGTGCAGTACGTGTTGGTCCCGTGGGCCGGCCGCGCCGGCCGTGCGGCACCGGTCAGAATGCGGCATGCATCATGCTGCTTGGCTGTTCGGTCCGGCACGGCCGGTCCGTGAGACCGCGCAGCCGGTCCACGGGACCGATGTAGTACCGCACCTCTGCGTCGCAGGATTGTTTTGGTCATCGGTCCTATACTTTCGTGCCATGTAAAATAACCAGCCACGAAAAATAACCGGCGGCGCATCTCTAAATCACTCTAAATCACACAGTACGCGTATATTTTTACAAACCTTTTAAAGTCATGTGTATAATTGAAAAAGGTAAAAAATAATGTATATTTTAGATTTTATTTCGTCATTGCGTTCGTTGCCACGCATTTTTCCCTGTCTTTTCTTTATGTGATCCGCTTGCAATTCGCCCATTTGCCAGTAGTGGTGAGTGCTGTAGTGAATTGCCTTGATAAAAAGAATATATTTGGGCATCATATTATGACATGGTGAACAATCGAGCATTTCCTAGTTCAATATGCAGTGTACAAACGAATTAAATTTAAAAATATACAGTTTATTTTTTTACTCGGAATTTAATTTTTTTTAGCATAAATATACCATCTATATTGCTCAACATTACATGAAAATGACACGAACATCGACGCATGACGACGCAAGTGGTCTGGCACGGGGATAGCACGAGATCACGCAGTCTCAAAAATAATTGAATTTTGAATATTTTTGGAAAAAAACAAATGAACAATATATGTTCAAATTTAATTCGTGTACACACCCGGTTCAGTAACTAGATGACACATTGACATATTACATACTGAATTCTACTAGTATCACTTTGTTGAACTAGTTTATGAGTTGAGAATCTAGTGACGATGAAATTACCTTATGAGCGTCAGATCATCATGTACGAGCGAACATAAACTATATATATTCAGCTGTCTTTTGCATGTCGGTAGCCGGTGGGTGTCACAGGCTTCCCAGTGATAGAGAGCAGCAATCATACAGATAAACAATGCAAAAACACACTACCTAATCTGGCATCTTTTATTATTAAATTTGTCCAAATCGAACGGACTACTTGTGTCATTATGCATATATGACTGTATGGGCAGGCAGCATAGAGAGAGAGAGAGAGAGAAAAGTTGGGACACACATAAACAGTAGGATGGCAGCATTTTCTCTGCCACCAGATAATCGATGAGTCATATTCCCAAATCACAAAACCATATGCTCAAAAAGGAGAAAGAGAAAAGGTGGAGAAGGCGTCCAGGTTCAATGTATGCGATCCTTGTCATTGCAATTTGCAAGGACAACTTTCAGGACCCCCAAGCTGACCACTTTCAAAGCATGTCCAAATAGCAGGCTACTAGGTTCCAGCTTTAGGAGGAGAGGAGAGATATTTGTAGTATAAGTAGCTTTGGAGAAGGTACATTCCTAAAGCCAAGATGCATCAAGAACTATTCTTCTTCAAGCTGTAGCCTGTAGGAGGAGGTTGCGTCAGATGGAGTTCCCCCATTCACTTCTGGTTCTTGTTTGCTTCTTCAGGTAGAGTTGATTTGGTTTTGATAATTTTCGTGTTCATGATTCATCGGGAGATGGATTTGTTTCTCAGTATCCTCATGTATGCTGTAGCTGGATTGTATCAAAGCAAATAAATCGACGATGAGTAAAGAGATTATATGTGTTTCTCGATCTTATTAGTTACTCCTACTTGTCTATTTGTGTGTTCGGATGTGATGACCTCAAGAAATGCAAATGAGTTAGTTTCATGTGGCCCTCTAGAGACCGAAAGGTCACAGATCCAACAGGCAAGTAACCCATCAGTGTAAGATGTTTAGGCCGTGTAGTGGACCTCTGGACTAGCGGGCATATCGATTCTGCAACGCAAAATCGCACGAGGTTTCTAATGAACTTTATAACCGAGTAACCACGGTTTAAAAAAACCATACAGTTATCACGTGCAATAATCTTCTCACTTTTTAAAACTACGATATACCTCATGGTAACCGTACGATTATCACGGTAACCATCAAACTGTGGGATAACAACATCTCTATCCCAACAGATTTGGTAAACCCTTCTAGTAACGTTCTCGAGTCTTTGCAAACAGCCAGCCCCAGCCAGCCCGAGTTATGAACCATGATGCGTAAATCGTGAACCATCCAGCTTACATGACTGGGTCACGCCACAGGCGAACCATACACCAAACACGATTGGGTCAGGTTGAAGGCCGCAACACAAACACTCCCTGATCACAACAAACAGGATCCGGTCAAAACACGAAAGCATGCATGCATGCATAAGCTTCATCACAGAACAGCAAAAGCAGGAGATGGGAAATGAGTTTTCATCCAAATATGCATAGTACAGTGCCAAGGTGAAACATCGAACTATAGCAAAAGGGTTTTCAGTTGACCTCTGATTCACCCCATCCCTAACTATGCCATCGGTTGGTCACAGGACATCAAAGGCAGGTGATGGGAATTGAGTCTTCACCCAAATAAATAGCAAAAGAAAGGTTTCACCTGACTTCAGATTCACCCCTCCTAGCTATGCCATCGTCCAACCGGAAGAGAAGTCATGTGGCTACAACACTAATGCCCATAACAGAATCTCCAAGGGACAACGAGGATATATATACATGGTGAGTCGATAGTAGATGTGGAGTTCTAGCAGACTTCCGTCTCAAATCTAAGGCAGATCCCCATGCTGAATAGCTCTTGATAGAGCAGCTTTGCGCCGTAGGGCACATTGATCCTTACTATGTTTTCAGAAGAGCGGCAGAACCCACAGTATGGCCCCCGGATCTTCTTTCCTCCTGGGACAGGCCTCATGATAACATTCGCCACACGTTCGCACGTCTGGCAGACGTGCATCTGCGAGAAGTCACTAAGCATGAAGAGCCGCTCATGGAGGTTGGCTGCTGCACCATGGGCGAGGAGGCAGTCACGCTCCATTTCTCCAAACTTCACTCCCCCAAACCTCTTCCTGTCAGCAACAGGTTGCCGTGTTAGGGGGTGCACTGGCCCCGTGTTCCTGAACTTGACCTTATCTTCTGCCATGTGTATCAGCCTCTGGTAAAAAGTAGGACCCATGAAAATCAATGAGTGCATCCTTTCACCAGTCCGGCCATTGAGAACACTTTCAGCTCCCCATCTTGAAAATCCAGCCCTGAAATGGAACGAGACATCAGTTTGTAGTAATGTTTCACTACAAGACATTTTCTGAAACAATTGTTTATGCCACTTAAGGTGACATGCACACATTGACCTGATTGATCAACATATCAAGAATAAGTGATGCTGAATTGCGCACTTGTAAAACTGCACTGTTTTTTGTCTTTTTTTGCTCAATGTGCACTTTGCAGTAATAACGAACAAGATTTACAAGAAAGCTCAAACAATATCAGTTTGTGTGTAACCACATAGTTAAACAAACAGATTTGAGCGATAATGCCCCTCCGAAATCATTTCATCTATTGTACCAATGTGCGTGAAGAGGTTGGTTAGTGAATTTAGGAAAGAAACCAATTCATCCATTAGAGAAGAAACACTTACTTGTGTAATTGGTCTGTGATCACATCAAACGATGCTGTTGTGAATGGTGTAGCATATCTCATTGTACCACCGAGGGCAATTCCTTTCCCCAAAGCAGCTTCAAGAAGCTGGCCTGGAGTTTGACGGGTAGGAAATGCATGTGGATTTATCACAATATCTGGTACTATTCCTTGGTAAGTAAATGGGAAATTCTCCTGAGATTCTAGAAAACCAACGACACCTTTCTGGCCATGCATGCTGGAAAATTTATCTCCAAGGCAAGGTGATCGAACCTGAACTCAGTGAATGTAAATATCATATTAACAAAACTTAATTTGGCCACCAGAACTCAGTGAATGTAAATATCATATTACAGCCTAAAATATTAGAAAAAACATATGATAGAATAAGATTGCCAAGTCACTAGTCTTGGGTGACTCATGTAGTCATGTAACAACGACTAGGTGACACCTAGTTGACAATGCAATTACTAAATCATGTTTAGCAGTGAAATTAAATAATAAGGAAATAAGCAGGATCTGGACTGCCAGATCAAGTAAGTCATGCAAGCATCCTGTATGGCAATGATTATGATACTCCAATATTCGATAACTTGATCTCCCCACAAATATGCCAGTTTGGACATTGCACAATTGCACTCTGAAACCAATTTCTATGAAAATGCTGGTAGCTATTAGAATTTACTAAATGTTAGTGGCATAATTGAATGAAAGTGTTGTACATGATAGATCTAGTAATGGTTTTACCATATACACAATCTCTCTTTTATGTCATCACTCGGAAAGTCCAAAAGTTTGATTGCACATTTTCAAAAGGGACAGCATTCTATTGTTGAGTACTATAATATGAATATAGTGGCAACTGGCAACCAATGTCAGGATCATGAATATGCTGGATAGAAGATACATGTTTAATAAAAACAATATCATTACCTGTCTTAGAGTAACAACTGCAAAGTTCTTCCCCTCATCATTAGCTGAAAGTAATACCCTCTGCACCATACCCTTTTCAGTATGCTTCAGCTTAATACTATGATCTTCACCAGATTCTGAGACCTTTCCAATGACAATGTCACCACTCTGAAGACTTGCACCGACATATGGTAATCCATCATCGTCAAGATTGTCAACACGTCCTCTCTTGCTTTGCATTTTACCGAAGTCAATCTTATCCTTCATTTTTAGTCGTTTGTTGCCACCTGGCCCACCTTTGTTCTCTACTTCAGCCTTATAGTTCCTGAAGTGCTCAGTCCTAAACATACCCCGCTCAAGAGAAGCCCTATTCATAACCAGGGAATCTTCTTGATTAAACCCCTGATGAACATTCACTGCCACTATTGCATTTTGGCCATTGAAATACTCTGGTCTGGCAAAGTCATCCTTTCTCCCAAAAGTATATTCTGATCTACCAATGCAGTCAGCTATCACTGTTTTGAAAAGGGGTCTCTGAGGATAGTAAAGTTGATGGGAAAGGGTATCAACTCTGATGTGCGGATTTGTTGTAGAGTATCCAATAGCTTGCTGTGAATGTTTTTCAGATTGGTAAAGAACCCTCCGAGCAAAATTGTGGTTCGCAAAAGGGATAATACCACAACTTAATCCTAGCAGAAAAGAAAGATCCAGCTCACAGTGCGTATAACCTGAAACCTCCCCTCCGATCTTCCTCTTAACATTGAAGACATCCTCTGCTTTATTCATTTTTACCATGGGAGCCTCTTCTTCACTCTCAAATAGGTTCCTGATGCCCCAGGCACTTCGTATATCTTCCTCTTCTTCAACGCCAATAAACTCAATTATTTCTTGTTGCATTAACCACTGAAAAGAATATGAACTGCCCTTCGGTCTCCTAATTTTATTGAGATTTTCAACCACAAGAAGCGGTCTGAGGATTCGACCTGCATCAGAAAACACCCGAACTTCCCTTTGGTGCTTGTCCCGTTTTATCTCAACCTAATCAAATGGATCATTAAAAAAAGATACACTATTAGTGGCAACATGTAAAGTATCCCTCGTTATGTCTCTGTTCCAGAATGTAACTTACTTGGGATCTAGAGGCCATTAATATATATTACTCCCTCTGTCCCAGAATATAGCAACATAGAACGACTAGATGGGACACCACCTAGAACAACATATCTAGACAGAGTCCTAGGTTGCTATATTTTGGGACAGAGGAAGTAAACACATAAAACTGTATAAAAATATATCATTATCTGTCTTGATAGATGTTTCCATATATTCCTTCCTTTTGTTACATCAGGTTATAAAACTATTGTCAAGTTGTTATGTTGGAGACACAATATACACTTTATTTATTCAACGGAGGGGGTAGCACATACTACACAGAAGGGGAAAAAATATGCAGGAACCAATATCCCAGTGTGTATGCATCCAGATAGAATACATAACTTAAATAGAGTCCAAATCAGGATTACCTAAATATAACGTTCAAAGCAACATTATTCAAGCTGAATAGAAGTAAGATAATACAGGTCAATGACTTACTAAGCATTCAGATTTGAGTTTGACCTTTCCAAAAAGGTTATGAAACAAAATTAGGGACTCTTCCTAACTAGGCATGATGAAGACTATGGGACTAGCACACCAATCATTGACATAATGCTCAAAAAAGGTTCCAACAGAAAACTTCTTGCCATGGGAAATGAGAGCAAACCTGTGGATCTATCAGACCACTGCGTCTCATGCACCTTAAACGCAAGACAAATGAAGCCGGGTCACTACAGGACCCCACCCAATCCCCATTCAGGAAGATTTTATCCATTCTAGGAACCTCCTCTGTAGGAATCTCATGCAGCTTATTCATTCCACAAGAAATGAACCTGTCAATCAATGGCGGTGCTACTCTGGAGCTAACAGTAGCTGTAACAGCTAGATTTTTCACAAGTCCACAGTTTTCACCATCAGGAGTGGACATAAAACACAATTTTCCCCAGTAGGATGGATTTCTGTAAGTATTTTTTTCTTCAAGTCAGTTTACATCATAGTACAAGATAGGCATGAAACATAAGAAGATACTTACGGATATCTTGCATCACCGGCTTTCCCAGCATAAGCAACTCGTTGGCGAGTTTTCCTCAAGTCCGAGATCATCTGAAGCGGATTTGTTCTCCTTAGTGTCGCAACAATTCCTGCGCATCTTTCATTTCTTTTGTAAGGATGGCACCAAGAACCAGTAGAGAAGGCACGGTTTAGACCATTGGTAATAATTGAAGCATCCAGATAATGATCAAATTCTTGTAACTCACGCTCACTATTTAAATCTCTCTGCAAGGCCTTAACCATGAGTCTCTCTGCATGCCTAATATGCGCACGGAGTTCTCTTCCAAGCAATTCACCAGCTAGGTCCAACCTCTTGTTCCGGAAATCATCCTTGTTGTCACATTTGCGCTTCCCAGTGAAAGCCATTAAAAGGCATTTGACCATGTAACCTAAGAAAAGTGCTTTGTTCCGGTTCCCACTTATGCTGGGGAAGAGGTATTTAGCAATATAATCATCAAATGGCTCTGCAGGAGGAAATTTTGAATTCTTAATCAATTCGTCAACATACTGCCGGGCTTTATCTGATTTACGGAAGCCTTCACACAATTCATCTGATTCTTTAATAGTTGCGGTAATTGTGTTGATAACACAAGCATCACAGTCTTCCATATTTATAACATCAAAGATATCCTTATCTGATGATATGCCTAGTGCAAAAAACATCAACCATATTGGCATATTTGCATACAAAAAGGAGATGGAAATGATCTTCCCCCCACTGGCATCTTCATTATTTGCAGAATCAATTAGTTTTATATATATGCGCCTTCTTCTGATTGGAGACAAGAAAGAGACCATCCAGCAAGGACGGTCCTCAACCCAAATCCTGGTCAGACATTTTTGCTCTTGCGCAATGAATACCTGCAGCATTTAAAATTTATATAGTATGAAACATAGTGATATAAAATAAAAACGCCATATATGGTACAAAAACTTTCTTTCCAGCAGAGGGTTTAAACATTGAGAATCACTCTCCAACAGATCACTACGAATAATTAGGGCTATGGTCAGCTGTCCACACACTATACTAAAACGCCAAACAAAAAAAAAATGAAATGATTCTACAGAACTAATTTGGAGGAAAATCTGTAGTGAAAACCACTACTTTGGATGACTTGGTGGTTTCCTATAAAGTAGTGGTTTTCCTCCAAACTTTGGAGGAAACCACGAGGTTATCCAAAAATTTCAAAAAGGGAGAGAAACTCACATAAAGGAAAGGTCATATTAGGCAACCATACGAAATCTCAAGATCAAATTTTGACTATCTATGAGATATGAAATTGACAATAGCGAAGAAAAAGAAAAAAAAAATCAGGACAAGTACTTTTCCTTCATTATTTGCCAGTTTCATATCTCACAAACTATGTTGGGTTTGATGTTGATATTTTGCATGGATAACAATTACCATATCTACATGTGAGTTTTTCCTCTCTCTTTTTTTTTTACTTTTTGAGTAGGAGTTTCCAACTTTCCATTTAGGCAGAGGTTTCTACTATATAATTTCCCCCCACAACCTTGCAGTTCATCCTAGCATACAAAAATAAACGCTTGAACACATGATAATGAAAGAATGGAGACCAGGCACAATACATAATCACTGAATGATAAGGCAAGGAGAAACATGAATATACAGTATTACCTTCTCCATTCCCTTGATCAAAAAGTATCCACCAGAATCAAATTGGCAATCACTTTCCTTGAGTTTGTGGAGCCAACATAAATTTGACATAACCATAACTGGAAGGCGGCCAATATTTATATAATATGTTTCATTAATAATGTTTCGCTTGTAACCAAATTTATCATTCCCTGTTTTAGCCTTGTCACTCTTCTCCATAGAGTAAACCTGACACGGTTAAGAACATTTCAGTAAACCAGATTATAGTAACACCAAAGAAAACTAAGGAACACCAACACGTCATAGCTTTGTTTTGCATCAGGGAGACAAATCAGCGCACAATAATACTAGGAACAGGCAAATATATTGGCATAATAGTTCAATTAAGATAATAGGATCAGGCATGACTGAAACAGTACCATACATTATTCAACAGCGCATGCTGCTGACTGTGGAGCAGCTCAAGAAACACTAATCACCCATCTGATCCTTGACTGCTCCATTTCATGTTATACGCTTATAAGTGGACTATTTTATTCTATATTCTTCAGGTGATGTTCGGTGGATGGACAAATTGTCACGTGATGTTCACACTTTTACAAGCTAAGCGTAGGAGAACAGGAATTGATTGTGTGTTGTACACAGCGCTCAAAAAGTAGAAAAAGGAATTATGCTGAGCACATATAAGCATTTACAGCTACCTTTTTTTTGCATTGCTTATACCGTTTGTGCTCATGGCATTCAACAAATTATGGCATAAAAGTAAATATTTAGTGTAGAAAATAACAATAAGAACCCTGACCTGGAAATGAACTTCCACTTTCATTTTGGAAGAATATGTCATATTCTGTAGGCGAGCATGCCTTGGCTTCAGTTTGAGCGATTGTTCATCAATATCACATCCATGAGACCAAAATACTGGTTCTTCTAGTTGCACTCTTCCAAACTTGATGATAGCATGTCTCCAGCCACCTGGTCCTCTATTTGAAGGATCATAACTAGGCTCCACAGTCACTTCCCCCAGAGAATCAAAAAGTTCCTGGAGCCCATGTGAGACAAACTCGTTATAAGAATTTATCTGATGGCTGATCAGACCAATCTCATCAAAGAAGGACCTTGATGCTTCTTTGCAGAACTTTTCTAGGCTTGGAATACTCATGTCGACTGGAATTTGGGCATATGAGTCGCGCTTTCCTTTACCATCATCACCCAGAGATGATCTCGTGGTGTCCATAGAATGGCATCCTCTGTCAACATCCATAGAAGAATGCCCATTTGCATCATCCAATGTATGGGATACTCCCTCTCTAGCATCATCCAGCATCATAGGTTCCAGCTCAGGATCAACAACACAGGATGATTGCCCATTGTCCTTTGATGGCTCTTCCATAACTTCGAGGGAATAGCCTAGCAAACAGTGCAGTACAATCACAAAAACCATCTAACTAGATAGCAAACATTCAAGCAGTGGCAGAAGCAGAATGTGCAGGTTGGGTATTCAAGGTTTAATAAAAACATATAACTAGTATCATTATATTAATGGAAAAATTAAATTAAATATTTTTCATAGTAGAGATACCATATTGAGACTTAGCACAATAGCACTAATACGAGGATGAAATAAACTATTGAAATCCTAACAAAAAAACAAGAAGAAAAAAGATGTCACCCCCCTCCCCCGCGCGGCCCCACCCCCAAAAAAAAAGAATAGGAATGACTGGAAACCAAGAATCAAACCCAGAACCTGCAGTACAGATGTGTACGCCTGGTAACCAACAGAGCAGAGCCTTGTGGATTGATGCACGCTGTTTCCTAAACATGTGAGTATTTACCCGAACACCCATGAACATTGGCATGTTCACCCCTGAAGCACTAGAAATAGAAATCCTTGAACTTTGTGGCCATCCCCTTTTTCCACTGAAAATTCTACAGAGTCCATTGATTGCCATTGATGTCTCATGGCTCACTGACATGTGGGCCCTAGACCCACATGGCACTGAGAGAATGAGTGCCAAATAAGGAAATGGATTAACTTTCAGTCATATAAAAGGAATTTATCCTTGAATTTACGTGCATGGGGTACACGTAAACTCACGCGCAATGTGTGCACATACACTCGCCCGCATACAGTGTTTTCTTAAAAGGATAGGTATTTCAAACTCAGCACATCAGTAAAAGAAGCATTCAGCCTAAGATTCACTAGGTGACACAAAACTAGCAAAGGAACAAATCAGAGTAGCTGTACCCTTAATTTGTTTAACAGAACTGTATAAGCGAAAAAAGAATTATCTCAATATGTACTACTCCGCTAAATAACAGAATTAAAGGCCATCACTCATCCTGGCACAAAATATGTCAGACAATTTACACCATAGCTCTCAATCATCACATGACAGGAACTAAAGGTACTGGCAGCATCAAGAGTTCGAATAAACAAATCACTAATAAATCCACAAAAAAGTGGACGATTTGGCACACCCTTCCATCCCAGAAAGACAGATTTGGATTAATTACTGATAGACGCCATTGCAGTAGAGCGGCCTCAGCAACCCAACAAGGTTAGGTTTGCCAGAAAGATACCAACATACGCCAGTCTTAATAAAGCGGCGAGGGAGATGACCATCAGGAACAAAATCGTTCGAAGATCTCTGCCTCCGACCCCCCGCCGCAGCCTCAACCTCCTACCCCGGAATCTCGATCTACGAGACGTGCTCCGGCTTCTCCCCTGCTCCTCCCCTACTCCGCGCCGACCGAGCCGACCTAGGCAATCCACCCACCCAGCCACCCAGATGAAAACGTGCATGCTCCCCTACCCTACTCCTCCTCCCATCCCATCGAAAACCCACTCGCGACAGGGTGTAAACGACCCTCGTGGAAGAGCCACCTCGCCGGAGCACACGGAGCTCTCAACCCGCGAGAAATAAATGGGGGGAGGAGGAGGGGATTGAGGGGAGGGGGGCGGATGTTGGACGGGGCTCCTCACCAGAGCCCCCGTCACACGGGAGGGGGAATGTACCTGGTGGAGAGGAGGGGCGTCGCCGGAGGGCGAAACCCTAGTCGCCGGAGGCGGGGATTCCGGCGTCCGATGCGTGCGAGCGATGCTTCCGGGGAGAGTGAAGAGGGGGGAGAAGGGTTCTGGCGGAGAAGGGGATGGTCTGTGAGGGGTTTTATGTGGGGTAGCATGTTCAGTGGTGGCTGGAGAGAGAGGACCAGGCGGTTTTTTTATGAAAACCGGGCCAAACCGGTCCGACCAGTTTATCATTTGTTTTTCAACGATCGGCCGTCTGATCGAGTGCGCAAAGGTGCTGCCGGCGACGGAGCCGCCGTTCCCGAGTTCTGCCGTCGCGCCGCCGCCGCCGTGGACGCTCGATCTGTCGCCGGCGAGAGGGAGCGGCCGGAGAGGGTGGAGGGAGGGCTCGGTCAGGGAGGGTGAAGAAAACCGGGGGCGATGGTTGGAGCGTGGGACCCACTCCAGGTAGAAGCTCATTCCCCTCCCATCACTTAAACATAGTGACGTCACCTTTCCGATTAAGCGGCGGATAACGGCAATTTTACTCACAGGTCCGGGTATCGGATACTCAATTCGATGGGCACGAGTGTCGGTGTGATTTCTTACCTGTGGACACGTCCGTCCAAGATCCAAAGACGTCGTGGGTAACAACTGGGTTATATTTTTTACCCATGGGTAACCCGTGCCGGACCCGATACATATGTATTAGCTAATTTAGATCAATATCTTAATTCTTATACCCCTTTCTCTTGGTTAATTTGTGATGATAAGTGATAATAAGTTCTGAGTAATTCAAATTATTGTTGATAACTAATAATTTGGTAAATTATTGATTTTATTTCTCTTCGTTAAATTACAACTTTTGAGTTATTGTTCATGTGAGATCTATTGGGTACCGCCGATATACCTATGCCCATAATGGCACGGAGTTTTGTCTACTAACCCACATCGGGCATCGGGACAGGCATGGTTTTGCTCTACCCGTGTCCGACCCGACCCATTGTCATCCCCGCGGATCCTGATCGCAGCAGTATGACATTCTTTCAACGAATTTTAATTATTTTTGGTCGATTTTCACTCTTTCAATTTTGAATTACGAAAGCCATTTGAAATTTCATTCGGAGTCTACTTTTATCCTACGAAACCTCAAATTTTTGCGGTTTTGATCGGTTTTCGTTAAAATGTAAACCCAGAATGTGACAATGACCACCCACAAGCTCTACTATTGTGCCAAAGGTAGCATAGCAACTTTGCAAATACATTTGGCACCAGAAAACTCTGTATCAGGCAAAAAGTTTCAGGAACCGGAAGAACAAAGAGAAGTAACGAGAGAACATCCCAACTGTACAGAAGGATACAATTTCAATCAAACAGCTCTTCAGGTATTCTGCTCTTTGTGTATGTAAGTGCCATATGAATGACAAAATACTTTATACAAGGCCTAAGCCACATAATTCAGAATTCAGTTTCGATCAAGCAGTCATGCTTGACAGCATAGTGCAATGGTGATCTGAAATCTTATAGATTCTAGATGCAGAAATCATAAATGACAGCATAAAAATAGCTGCAACTTTAACATTTTCAGCAAAATTCAGTCCTTCGGATCGTCAAGATTGCCTCCAGCTCCAAGCATGGACATCAGGCCCCCACCATGAACCCTCCCCTCCGGCACGACGAACCCGAAGCACTGCTGCTCCTGGCTCCCTCCGTCCTCTTGACCTTTGCCATGCGAAGAAGATGGCCTCATTGAACCAGGAACCAGGACCTGATGCGGTATCAGGAGCTTGCCGTTCCGCATCTCTTCCAAGGACTCACCGCGATCCGACGAGGCACCAGGGAGAGAAGAAGAGATGGCATGATCCATGCTAGCACCAGCCGTCATCGAGGATGCAGAGACCATCTTGCTGAAGAGGCTGTTCCTGATCATGCCTCTGCTGTGCTCAGATTCAGGCACTTGCTTTGAAGCCATCAGGGTTCCATGTGCAGCACATAACCCACTCCTTCCCCTTGCAAACCTCTCACAGCCGGTGCTCCAAGCGCATCGTTTGCCGCCTCCATGCGCCTTGCAGAAGTCCGTGCTCCCCTGAGCACTCTTGTCGCAACCGTCAACCTTGCAACGCTTGCCACCACCATGCCTCACGCAGCAATCAGTGCGACCACGGGCGCTCTTGGTACATCCTGGTACAGAACAGCGTTTGCCGCCTCCATGAGCGACGCAGAAGCTAGTTCCACCATGAACACTTTTAGGACAGACACCACCTCCCTCAAAGAGGCACCTCTTACCACCACCGTGCCCTTTACATAGCAGCGTGTTGCCCTCGGCACCTTTAGTACAGCCTTCAAATATACACCGTTTGCCTCCACCATGGGACTTGCAAAACATGGTGCCTCCTTGTGCTCCCTTACTGCAGTTCGGGTACTGACACCGGCGACCACCTCCATGTGAGATGCACAACCCAAACTGTCCTTCGGCACTCCTGCTGCATCCCTCTACCCTGCATCTCTTCCCTCCACCATGTTTTATGCAAAATCCTGATCTTCCCCTTGCTGCCTTCGTACACCCCGGAGTTCCGCATCGACGCCCACCACCATGAGCAATGCAGAACTCAGTCTTCCCTTCAGCACTTTTGGTGCAGCCTAGCTCCTGACACCGTTTCCCTCCACCATGAGATTTGCAGTAAGCTGTTCGGCTCTCGGCACCTTTGTTGCAACCAGGCTTTTGACACCGCTGACCACCACCATGGGAAATGCAGAGCCCTGTTGCCCCTCTTGCTCCTTTTGAACACCCATTGAACCTACACTTCTTAGGATGTCGTTGGTGACTTCTCTGCTCCGTGCTAGTTGAGGAGAATATCATATCTGAAGTTGCAGCAAAAGAACAATCAGTTGTTGCTGAAGGCTCGGGGCTAATCTGAACCTTCTGCTGATTAAGAGACGTAATGTGATCATCGTCACAATCATCTACAGTTTCAACATGTTGAATATCGGTCACTGGTGGTGTTCCATTGGGACAGATATCATCTGATCTTGGAGCAAACAGAAGTGGCAGCACATAACCACCTGGTTTCCTTTTAGCTGAAGTTGATCCTTCATCAGTAAGTGGGAAGACGATACCATTTCTATTTTGATGTGAATACTTCTCGATCATTGTTGTGGCTTGAAAATTTCTTGTGCCACCTCTCGAAATGCCCAACATCAGACCATGATCGGCTATGGCAAAATGTTGGCTGAACAAATTTGCAGATTCTTTATCCCTGTTGCCACCGGATGACTCATTATCAGCATAATGTAGATTAGGTGTTGGTCCAAGTCCAAGGACAAGCCTGCATCCATCATCAGGAATAGACAAGCTTTGATCGCTCTGCTGAAACATTTTTTTAGAAGTCTCGATTGTTTTTGAGCTGCCAAGGCAAGTGAAGTTCATTGATGTTGCAACTTGTGGGAATGGCGAAGCAGCTATATGTTCCTTCCCATGAAACCAAAGATTTGTCATATTAAGGTCCATCCTTCTTAATATAAATACGGTAAGATGTGACAGAAAAAGGAGTTTAGTATTGTTTGGGGACCAAGAGCTTTCGTCAAACCATCAGAATCCCAGTTTTATAACTTCACCATAAAGGAAGCATATAGTATAAACGAAATGGAAATACACATGGATGTTCATGTAAAATACGCCTCCACTGACAAAACCTGATGTATCAGCTCTGTCCATGAGCATTAAGTTTACTGGTTCGAAATGTCAAATGATGATATTGCTAAACTAAGCAAATCAAGTGCCAAGCATCTTAAGCTCACAAGAACCACAAACGGACTTCATATCTCAATTAAGTGTCCTCCAAGACCTGCAAGCAAGCCATGTCACAAGTGAAGATGAAGGACTAAAATAGAATGACCGATCAGAGCTCATAAAAATTGACCGTAGAAACAATGTATAGCAAACAAGTGTTCATCTGAAGATTTTACAATTACAGATAATAAAGGACCAATGCTAGCGTCACAAGCAAAACATCCAAGTCAAAATAGGCAAGGGACTTCCATTCCATCAGAAACGGGTGATCAAAAGCAAACACAGTTTAAAGTATAATGTGAACCTGATAAGACTTTGAAGAATATGCTGTTTTCTCCCCCACTATTTTTCAGTTGAAGAAATGTTTTGTATACAAGGTAGAAGCAGGACCACCCAAAAGTCAATTTGTCATTATCTTGCTAAACAGAGGGAAATGGTATAGTAAAACAAAAAAAAAAAACCCTCAAGTATCAAGCCTGCGCAACATTATGCTAACGACCATCACTGGAGCCACAAGCAACCTTGCTCATACAAGTACAAATTTGACCCAGCTACGCTAAATCAAACGCATGCCTAACTATATTAAAACTCCTCTATGTAAAAGAGCAATTCTGTTGGATTTAATTTACATTAATTAGAACATAAAAATTACAATAGCACTGGTTTAAAAACCTTGGGGTAGCACCCAATTCAGTAGCCTCTAAAAGGAGACAAGTAAAGCAGGCTGCAGCATACATCATATGGACTATGGAGATGATAAACAAACAAACTACTACTACAAGGGAGACACCAGTTTTCCAACTTCTCACCAAAGTGCGTAGCTTAAGTTTGCCAGCTTCTCTACTAACAAGTCATCCAGAGCATGAAAAATCTAGCGAAAGACAATCCCGCAATTGCAAGAACAAAAGTCATGCTGTTATCCTAACCAGCACAGCACACGGATTTCCATCAGGCATGCGTGTAAAACAGTAGAGCAAGAACTGGAGAGCAAAGAAAAAGCATAAACTTGGGCTTGTTAACCAAGAAGTAGTAGTGAGAATAAGTGAGAAGCTGCAGATCCATACCACCACCATGGAGAAGCGGCAGAGCAGTGCAGGAAGCGGCGAAGCGAAGGGGTGGAGAGGAGACCAGTGGGGGCGAGGCGGAGATGGAGATGTGTGCAGGGAAAAAATAATAAAGAGGCGTGGAGAGGAAAAGGAAGGGGCTTTATGCCAATCGGGGAGGTGACGGGAATAGCATTTTGGCTTTTGGGGGCTCGGGAGGAGCATCGAATAAAAATCAACCAAACCATGATTAGATTATTATGCAGTGAACTCCTACGAGCCGCGGCTCGCCCGGGCGGCGTCGCGTACGTACGCGTCGTGCGCCGGCTGCCTCGATCAGGTCGTGGACTCGTGGCGCGTGGACCACCTGAGGTGAACATCAGACGCCACATACGAACAGGTGGCAAATCCAGCAGAATTGCACGGATTTTCTCGAACGGTCAACGGTTGGTCTGTCAGTAACTTCTGCATGAATAGGGGCCAGTTCACTTCCACTGGTACTCCAGTACAGTTGGTGAATTTGCTAACCCGAGATTTACTCCTAATAAAGTCTTTTTTCCCTTAAATGCAGTGGCGTTGCGAGAAAAAAGGTCTCCTCCTCCTGCACCATCGTATACTCTCGCACGGAACCTACCACCTATGCTACTAGTACCACACATGCATGCATATGTGGTTACTGGTTACTCAGCGCCATATGGAGCAAGAACACCGAAAGGCATCCACATTCCATTCCACCACCATCCAACCACCGGTTCCACCACTACACCGACGTGGAAAGAGCGGCCAAAACGCGCAAGCTGCACCGCAAAAAAGCGACGGGAATTTTGACCGTTCAGCTCAGCCGGCAGCTGCTCCCCTCCCCTCCTCCCCGGCTCGGATGCCTCCACCCGCCGCGCGCAGCGTACGTACGTCGCCGTCGCCTCGCGCCCGTTCGCTGCGTCCGCCCGTCCACGCGGCGCCGCGCCGCGTTCGATCCGTCGTCGGGTAGTGTGACTTGGTGGTGAGTAGGCGCAGCCAAGGCAGGCAGGCGGCGAGAGGAAAGCGGAGAGCGGACGCGACGGCGACAGGTCAAAGGGTGGGGGAGTGAGACGATCGAGGAAGGCGTTTTACTCGGCCCGTCCAATGCCGAGGCGGCACATCTTGCCCTTGGATGACGGGGATGCGAGTTTTGGTTTGGAATTGGATGCCCCCAAGACTAGCATATGCTCAGAACAACGGACGAGCGGTGGTTGTAGCACATACTCCGTACTACAGTACAGTATAACCTTTTGCTTTTGCATGCACATGAGTATGTTTGGAACGAATGGATTCAGAAACGCAGTAAGAATATCAAGCGAATTCGGTGTAGAAACTGGAAACTGAAAACACACACACACACACTATCCCCTCTTTTCTATCCTCCAAAACGATGCCTTATCCTAATAATAATGTTTTTCTGTGCAGCCCAATTGCCTAAATGAACCAACAGTTGCTGGTACTATATACTGCCTTAGTACATTTCTGAGCAAAAATCAGGCACTAAAGTGTATTATTTCACCATATGCATTGCAAATTGAGATGCCTTAGCAAAGTACAAAGATGGGTGGGTCATGAGCTGTATTATATATCTAGTAGTATTTCGTACAAAGATTCTTCAAAATGGGGAAAACATGGCCGGAAACTACTGCTATAACATTATCAGCACAAACGAATAAATCATTTATTGGCAGCCTGGCAGGATTTTAAAACAAATTGCAAGTGCAGAATCCGCATCGATGCAGTTGTAAAGTTGGCAACAGAATAACACGACGGCCAAATTATGTAGCTTATCATGTATTATGCATAGGCATCGGTCCTTTTTATCACTCACAATAGGTGTATTAATCAAAGTATCAACCCAGTAGTACTATGATTATATATTAAGCTCTACCAAACAAATCTGAGAAGGTTCCAGACCAAGACAGGAAATATATGGCTGGGATTGACAAGGCAACACTATGCTACAAAGTACAAAGGATCACACTACAGAAACGACCAAGTGCTTGACATGTTCTCCCTCATTGGAGTTGACAACCCAGACAAACAACAGGAATACATGATTTAAAAGAATCTGAAACAGGGAATGTCAACAAGAACACGTATAGTAGATCGCCTCCTATGAACTACAGATAGCTTTACGACCTCAACGACTGGAAAAGAGCATTCGAAAACGCACATCACGCACTCAAACCAGGAATGGTTTGGTTTCTCAACATTGTAGGCACTGGAGGACTTTAATCCTCCTGAATCATTATCTCCTCCTCTGCTACTCCCCAGCAGCAGCTGCCTGGCTTTCCAACACAGGAGGATGGGCAGCAGCTCTGCAGTAGATCAATGTTAGGGAATATTCCAAAATGTAAGAATGAGAACAAATTAAGACAGTGAAAAACTGAAAGTATCTCCAATTGTCAGTACTGGTAAACCCTGAACAGGGACAGTTGGTTACACATAATTTGCTAATGCACCACTAGAGTTTCTCTGCTGCTACTGTATTGAATGCTAAGGATCTCGGATAGTAGTACCATATACTCCTAGTGTATAACAGAAATAATTCCTAAGGATGAATTGTGCACTGATCTGCAATCAGAAACACTAAGTTTTAGACTATGATTTCTGGCTAAAAGTTCCATATAACAAAGTATTAATCATTTAATTATATATATTTTTGTGGGAAGATCATTTGACAGGATAAATGATACTCCTAGATAGGTAGTGGTGTCCAACTGCAACGTTCTTCATGCTATGGTGCTTATTCATCAATTATGCAATACAAATATTTAAGGAACTGCATCTGTGGCTTTCAGAGTTGGACTCCATCATTTATTTGGCATCAGTGAAGAGAATATACCTTTGAGCAGGTGTATATGATAAGAGTCAGCCAGGTCCAGCCATCAGGTGCATAATCTGAGGAACCATCACCAGCTTCATGGAGGAAATATGACAATGGAGACATCAATTGTAGCTCATATTGGCGTGGTGAACCACAAAGCTGGCATGTGCCAGAATCTTGAAGGTTTGTTGCAGCCAACAGTGGCTTACCACCATAAGAATACCTGCATAACATCACAAAATTCAGGTTCCGAAAGTCAAGAAGGTAATAGACAATTAATGCATAATAGATAACCAGTACATCACATAATTGAAAGATGAGTTTGCAAGGACATATGAATTTAACCACCTAAAGCATTGCTGCGGATATGCATCCAACCGTTTCTTGAATTTTAAGAACGTTCTGTCAGCACCAATAGCTCTGTCATATTCATAGTTTTCTCCTTCCCATTTCTCTTCTTCGTCATTTGCTACATCTGCAATTTCTTTCGCTAAAACTGACTTGCTGCTATTTGAACCTACACTGCCTTTGTCTCTAAATTGCTCCTTACCATAATAGATGTAGAAGCAAGGAAGAACTGCAAGAAGAAAATTTTATGAGATCAAAATATAAGACTTTGTGAGTATAGCACTTAGTACTTAAGACTTTAACTTTACCTGGTAAGCTTGGATCATCCACTTTCTGCTTTCCTACAGGGCATTTTATAGGGGCATTACTACGCTTTGGTTTGTTTTGCTTCTTTGAGTTAGATGCTAAAGTCGCTGCTTCCTCAAGTGCATTGGCTAAGGCATCTAGATCGAAATCATCATCACTGACCTCATGGCTCTTGTTCAGTAAACTTGAAGAAGAAGGCTCACTTGAGCAAACATTTCCGTTTATTTGATCTGTTTCGTCAACCTTGCCATCTGTTTGTGCACTGGTGTGGCACTTTTGGACTCTTAGGACCTTCCAACTGTAAAGAAAAAGAAAAAGAAAAGCATAAAAATTCCCAAGCTAACTTGTAAACTATAATCATATTACATAAAGAAACAAAGGGAGACATGCTCACCTTTGCGGGTTCGTCCCACATTTTGGCTTCGGACAAACAAGCACATAGATAGTCCTGTTCTCAATGTTGAACTTTGCCACAGGAGCATGAACCTGAGACCATCACATCTCATAAAAACGAAGCAACAGTACTAGTAGCGAGGTAGAAGCACTCTATCGTCATAAATCAGTAGGAAAATAAGCTCTGATACACTTTAATGCATTGTAACAAATGTCCAGGCATCTTATTACTGCTCTATTTTCTCATACAAACGTTCATCCACACATGCTCCTATTGCAAGTACTGAATTCTTGCGAAACAGTAAATACTCGCCTGAGCAACAAGGCACAACTTGGTTCCACATAAACCGCATTGGAGCAAGTGAGGTTTAATGCCCATATCCTCGGTTGGCCAGTCCTGCATACAATTGATTCAATTGAACAAATCACTGAGCTTCAAAAACACCTTTGGGAAGGATAGAAAACTAAAATCGCTAATAACATGAAGAAATACAAAACACAGTTTCAGTAACAGGCTAATAGCTTAAATTGCAACTTCCTGGGGCAGACTCAGACAGAAGAAGAGCGAGCCAAAAAAAAAAAAAAACGAAATCAAGAATACACAGAGAGGGCAAAACCAAAGGCATACGGGGACTCCACCGATCTTGGTGGTGTAGTGATCGGCCTTCTCCCGGTAGTCCTCCGCCCAGGGCCCCGGCAAGCCCAGATGCACCTCCTCCCCCATCCCCTCCCTGCCTCCCTCTACTCTTCCCTTGGAAGAGAGGTTCTTCCACACAACGAGCAGGTAGCAGCGAGGCAGGCAAGATGGCCGAGCCAAGAATCCGGCCGGTACTCGCCGGCGTCCGGCGGCGGAAAGAGAAGGGGGTTAGGTTAGTGGTGGAGGTTTAGGAATGGAGAAGTCGGCGGGCGGCGGCGGCGGCGTATCCCTCGCCCTCGCGGAGACGCTGAGAGCGACGGCCCAAACAAAACAGGCCGCACGTGAGCCGTAACTACTTTCCGGCCCAATAATAACAAGCCGCACGTGGGCCACAAACACTTTCCGGCCGAATCAAACAGGACGGAACGTGGGCCGAAATTCAGTTCTGGGCCACGCCGTGATCCAGCTACACCTCGGCCTCACGACAGAATAGATGGGACATGAAGGAGCAGAGCTCCAAGATTCCATGGACCAGCACGCACTCGATCCGAACAACGGATGATACAGCGGGAATTGTCACGGCGCGGCGCGACGGAATGCAGCCTGTAGCTTATTAGCTGGAGTAGTGGAGTGGCTATGTGCGGATGCGGCGTGCAGGATGCAGATGATGGCACGACAGAAATGGTGCCTAACCTAGCCAAAGGGAGCACATGGATTGTTGTAGGTCTAATTGTCTATATTGTCATTTTGTTCCACTATTATTACAAGAGTATATGACCAGTGCTACTACAACGTGTGTTATACTGTTATGTGGACTTTCTAGTATCCTGTCTGTCCTGGATCCCATCAAATGATTTTTTTTTTAGTATACTGTCAAGTTTTAGGCCTGAAATGTCGACGGACAGTCCTTAGATCTGCAGCACTAGCATTATTTGTCAGATTAGGGTTCTTCAGACGAAGAGAACAAGCTGAATCAATATATCTGCCATGGTTTTAGAAGAAGAAAAAAATGTACTAACAACTAGTAATTAACAACCAAAAGTCTAGATAGACATCTTGATCATATATTGAGGATGGCGTGAGAGATGTTTTCGGGACAGCTATGTACGGACGGATATAGGCCATTCCTGGTGAACTGAAGATTATTTGGGGGGATAGGAGTTAGGACACTGATGAGGTTGTTACGGTATCACTGTTGTTCCGCTTTGGAGCAGCATCGTGAGTGGATCAACACAATAAGCATTGAGTTTATTGTAAGCAAGGACTGGAGTCCCACGGCCCCATAATTTAGCACTAATATCTCGAACTCTGGATCCACCGATTCAATGATGATGCAAGAGCATCTTGCAAGTGAAAAATGAGGATTTTTAGGCCTCAAGGAATGCCACTAACAACGAAAAAAATGTAGTATGCCAAAAACCAACCCCCTTTAAAAGCAAGAATGATATACTACTATGGGAGTAACTGAGTATGTGACTGTCTTATGCAGTAGTTTAGTTTGAGCATCAGATTCGCTAAATTTTCTCTCTCTGAGTATGTGCTCGTGTTCTTTCCTCGTGATTGGGAACACTTTCCTCCAGCACGTAAAACATAATGATCCATTAGCACATAATTAATTAAGTATTAGCTATTTTTTTTTATAAATAGGTCAATATGATTTTTTAAGCGGAGAGAGAGAGGGGAGATGGTGCTCATCATGGTGAAACACTGAAACAGATGTTGCTTTTTCGCTCTGCAAGACTGAAGACTGCAACGAACTCCACAAAGCAAAATGCTGGATCGTGCAAGGCTGAAAGCATGCAGCATACGCCTCTCTCAACTCCGATCTCTCTCTCTCTTCTAATCAAAACTCCGATCTGAACTCACATGACACGGTGACAAGCCGATTTCCGGTGGGCCGGCCGGGTACCTACAATGCACGGAGATACATGTACTGCAGTGGGGTCTCCGTGGCCGGCGGGATCCCGCGCGCCGACGAACGCGGCCGTTTCACCGCGCGCGCGCGCCCGTGACCAGGCGAGCCCGCAGGCCGCAGCGCGCGGCCACGTATGGCTGAGTGGCTGACTGCTCTGCCCGCGCGCAGGCACAACGACGCCGCGTGAGGTCGCGGATCCCGTTCGCATTCTGTCCTGTTTTCCTGCCTAACGGCCACCTTCTTCAGGAGCCAGGAGGAGGCGGCCAGCAGGCCCAGCAGCACTACACACTTGAGGGTGATGTTGAATCAGGACTTAACTTTAGTCTCTATATTTATACACTAATTTAGAGTATTAAATATAGACTAATTACACAAATAAAAGCTAATTTGTGAGATAAATTTTTTAAGCCTAATTAATTCATAACTATAGAATGGTTACTGTAGCATCACATATGCTAATCATGGATTAATTAGGCTCAATAGATTCGTCTCGCGAATTAGTCTAAGATTATGGATGGGATTTATTAATAGTCTACGTTTAATATTTATAATTAGTGTCTAAACATCCGATGTGATAGGGACTTAAAAATTTTAGTTCCTTCTAAATAGAGTCTTACACAGCCAGTTGCTGCCACCGGCTTGGCCGTAGCGCGGGCTAGTAGCTATCCGTCTCGCGATGTGCTCTTGGGGTGAAAACGTTGGAAATGGTTAGAAATGGTATGGTCTACTTTAATAGGACGCTGATAAAAAGTTAAGAAAATCTAAGTTTTAGAAACGGTGACAGTTGGTAAAGATGATATTATTATTATTTATTAGTTATATGGAAATGGTATCGGTATGTCTATGAAATTTCCATACCGATTTTCACCTTAGCATCTAGCAAAATTTATATTAGGTTATTTAAGGCCTAACTTTTCCTATTTGATAGGTTAAGTTCCTAATTAACCCAGGAAAAATATCTGCTGTCATCTGAGGAGATAAAGGGGAGACTCGGGTTGTACAGACTTTGTTAATTTAGGGCAGATTGCAGCTTTACCAACCTGGCTATCAGTGGTGAGGGAATCGTACTTTTTGGCAGTCAGCTTGTCCTTACGGATGAAAAGGCCATACTGATCATATCTAAATACTCAGTTGATGATCGAGATTAGCATTCAAGGAAAGGACATTTTGAGCTTCCCGTTGACATATTCCATGATCATCGCAGAGGTGCTACAAAACAAACACTATCATCTCATCAGCTCTGCTATCTCTGTTCTGAAGCGAAATCAACCCAGATACAGACATGCAGTAGTATCTGCAAGGCTGCATTCTGACGACCCTTTCCTTCGTGCTATGCAGGCATGATGTTGGATTCAGAAAGCCAGGAAGGTCTCACTGCAACTGTATATAGTATCTACTCCCTTCACCCTTCAGACGTGATAGATCTCCAATTGCACGGGCAAAACTGAAAATCCCAGCAAGCAAATGCTAGTACTACGCTAGTAGCATATTGACCTGTAACTGTAAGAGAGTTGGCCATTGCTGCGTACCAAAGCAACTGCATTTTGGACTAGGAGTGGTACTAAATTAGAATTGGAAGGCAACTTGCTGGCAGTTTAGTTTGACCTGCCACCTTGTCTGTTCGTTTTACTTCTGTCTGGGACTGTGGGTAGAGGGGAAATCTCTTTGATGTGCAGTTTTATAATGGGTTCATTCATCGGTTGGTCACCTGATAACCTCACCGTTCAGGTCCATTTGCCTGGAATAGCCACTTGATCCCGATGCGTGTCGCCGTCGAGCTAAATACGTGTACACATCCACCTTGCGATGATTACAAAAAGAAGGGAGATTTGATTTGACCAGGACATGTACGCCATAATCCATGTAGTATATATGAAGTCGGTGTACATGCTGCTTTCCGTATTTTAATGTATGACATCGTTGACTTTTTAAACAACGTTTGACAATTCGTCTTATTCAAATTTTTTTTGCAAATATGAAAATATTTATATCATACTTAAAGAATATTTGGATACCAAACTTGTGAATACGTATATCCGTCTACCTGATCGTATAACGGTATAAGCGTGTTTCTAAATGATCGATCGATGAAAACACTATACGTAACCACCGATGGTCTGGTCCTGATCATGTGGCCATCACCATGAAGCGACGGAATATTGGAGGGTAGCCCGGCTGCATGCATCAACCATCGTCGAATTCGAGCCTCTCGTCTCAATCCTGATAATATTCTCTCGTCAGATTAAGGGATACAGATCAATTGCGGATTAGATTAATTAGACCAGAACCAGATCCGTCCCCAGTAAGGTGGCGATTGATCCAACCACCGAATGTGTCGGTAATCGCAGATGCAAAATACGCTCGCTTTTGCGTTGATTGCCTTTCCCTTTGCATGACAAGTTGACAACCACCATGCTTTTCTCTCAAGAATCTCCCGTTGCCAAGCCACTGATGACTGATCAGTCACACTAGTCTCTCCCTCCTCTCCAATCTCCATACATGCATACCGTATTCCTTGCTTTCACCGAGGTAACTACTCCTAAACCAGGTCACATCCACGTTCAAGGCAAACAACTTCTTCCTTCGAGCTACTACTATACTTTTTTTTTTCACATTGCTTTCATCAACTTTCTCACGGAGTTTTGTTGAGCGTGACAAGCAGAAGAAACCAACAGGTTTTATATATCACGAGCGCTGCTGCACTGTTCTGCCAGGTACAGTACAGATTGGAGACGAGATTGTGATCGAAGAGGTGAAACATCAGATGGTTCCAAGAATCGGCTCGCGGTCACGGGCTCGGTAGAAAGAAAACACAGCGGAGTGCAGGCCAAGGGACGCTGCGAACGAAAATAAAGAGGCTTTTTGCTCGCACCGCGCCGTCCTTGTCACGGGCCGCGCTCACCAGCTCACACACACACACTCGCAACCACCGCGCTCGCCGCGCGCGCTCTCGGCGCGCCACGGCCTATATAAAGTGGCAGTGGCGAGGAGCAAGGGGAGCAACGACCATGGCCATGGCGGCGAGGGGAGTGTTGGCCATGGTGGTGGCGGTGGCGGTGGTGTGGTGCAATAATGTGGCGAGGGCGCAGACGCCGGTGTTCGCGTGCGACGCGTCGAACGCGACGGTGTCCGGGTACGGGTTCTGCGACCGGACGAAGAGCAGCGCGGCGCGGGCGGCGGACCTGCTGGGGAGGCTGACGCTGGCGGAGAAGGTGGGGTTCCTGGTGAACAAGCAGGCGGCGCTGCCGCGGCTGGGGATCCCGGCGTACGAGTGGTGGTCGGAGGCGCTGCACGGCGTCTCCTACGTCGGCCCCGGCACCCGCTTCTCGACGCTCGTCCCCGGCGCCACCAGCTTCCCGCAGCCCATCCTCACCGCCGCCTCCTTCAACGCCTCCCTCTTCCGCGCCATTGGCGAGGTCAG